CATTCGATTCGAGCTAGGGGTGAAACTGGGCCGGGCTGGCCTACAGGGGCCTACGGCTCGGCTTACATCAGGCTAGACCTGACCTAGTATATTTCGTATAATAGGCCGGGCTCAGGCCTTAAAAAAGTCTGTTTAATAAAAAGGACGTAGGCCCACTTTCAAGAGGCCGGGCCTATAAGCCTCCAGGCCGGCCTATATTGTACTATTTATTTTAAATAAAATAAAATAAAATAGAGTAAGTATGCCTTGAAGAAAAAAAAGATATAAATTTAATCAATTGCAATTAATTATAACTTAATCATATTCGATTATATTTTAATAGAAATCTTACTTTATTTCTTATATAGGATGAACCAATATCTCAACATGTTAGATTGTGTATATGAATATATTAAAAGATTTTTGGCAGAGGTTATACTTACTACAAGCATCATGATGTGTTTGTTGGATTCATGTGATTATTTTAATTTGCATAGTATGGATTTGTTTGTTGGATATGATGAAATATGTTATTTAATTTGAGCATTTTGCTTTTGAAAATGACTTAAATGCATATTGTATTAGTTTTGTTATGATTCATGATTCTGTTTGGACGTTGAAATTATGATTTTTGGTGTAGCAACAGAATTTGAGTACTTTGTAAAGTTGATTCATGGTTCTGCTTGGAAGTTAAAAATTAACAGGCTAACGGGCCAAGCCAGGCCATTTGTTTTTTTTCATAAACGGGTCAAACCAGGCTAACAGTTAGACTCATACTAGGCTTGGGCCGTGCCAAATTGAAATTTTTTGACGTAAGCTTGGGCTTTTCGGGACAAAGCTCGGCCCAGCCCAGCCCACTTTCACCCCCTAATTCGAGCATTCTTACTTCTCAATCTTATCCGTATTTAGATTTTCTGGAGTGGAAGTGAGTTTCTCAGTCCTTAGCGCATTGTAGGGTTGGAAAAAACGAGTCAACTCGTCGGGTTGGCTCGTAACCCGCCAAAATGAGCTGCCAACCCGACCCGACCTAGCTCGTGAAAAAAAGACAACCCGCGGGTCGAAAAGGCTAGCTCGCGGGTTGAGTTTTTTTTTTAATTATAAAAAAATTCAAAATATAATGTACAAAATTAGACAAAACCCACACATGTTGTCATCATTTTTCTTTTTTCTCTTAACCTAAGTCCTTAATCTTCTTTCATCTCTGCCAGTTCTATATTGTTAGGCTGTGCTGACACTGTTTGGTTCAAATATCTTACCCACTTGGTGGCAAGTGGTTCTGATTGTTTCTTGATGTTGATGCAAATTTATTGTGAAAAAAAATTGAAACTAGAATATTTTGCTTTTATTTCTCATTTTGTAACCTTTTGTTTAAGCTGATGGAAGCCACATAACTGGTGCATTAATACAACAAGGTCATTTAAATAGGCTGAAAATGAACCAATTAGCGAGCAATTTTCGAGCCAACCTGCGAGCCAATTTTTGAGCCAACTCGCGAGCTATTTTTTCAAGCCAACCCACGAGCCATATCTTTGAGTCAACCCTAACCCGACTCTGGTCGGGTTGGATTTTCTGACTCGTATTTTTTTAGCCAACCCTAACCCGACTCATTTTTTTCGGGTTGCATGCGGGTTGGGCCGGGCCGAGCCGGGTTGGCTCGTTTTGTCAACCCTAGTGCATTGTCCAAATTCATGCAGCCGAGAATATTTTCACATTCTCTTTTCATGGCTTGAAATTATCTGCATTAAGCATGGGAATCATATTCACTTGAGCAATAAAGTTAACAGAAGTAGCAGAAATTGTATAGAGATCTAAATAAGATAACATACTCATAACAGTCATATCATGTATATATTTAAACACCATCACATACATGATATTGACAAATAATCTGAAGTCAAATGAATTTATTTACAAGATATCTAGCACAACATTGACATTCAATCTTTGGACAAAAATATCAACTTGTAAATGGTACTCTCAATGCAGTAATCAAACATTGACAATAAGTCCTGTCAAACCATAGCCTTCCTTTGGGCCGACGATGACTCACATGTGAAGCCTTAATAATTATCACATATTTATTACCACAGGTATGTCTATTACTTGGCCAAATAATAACCTTCCTTTGGGCCGATTATTATCCTCATAAGCAACAAACACACATATGATCATACAACATATATTATTTGGCCGAACAACTAACTTCCTTTGGGCCGATAATTATTCGCATAAATAATATATATTTATTTGATCAACCTATTTGAAATTAAATTAACCTTTATAATTTTGGCCAGTTTGGCGGCTAACAAATCTATCATATTTAATTTCAAATATAAACCTTTAGGGATAATAATCCCATTTAAAAATAAAATAACAACAATAAAGAAAATTATTCTTTATCAATTCTCAATGTGTATACATACATACTGTATCATTATATCAATAAAAATAAATTCTTTTTCATTATAAGGCTTAAAAATTAATGCACTATCGACGCACATGTAGGTCTTTTCAGATGAGAGCTTGAAAATGATGAACAAAACCCAAAAAAAAAAAATTAAATTTGGTTTTTGAAAAAGAATATCAAATCTAAGAAAAAATCCCAGTTTATAAAAAAAAAATCTAAGAAAAAATCCCAAAAACAAAGACCTTAAACTTTTGATTTCTTTCAAACTATAAGCCCAAAACATTCTAAGAGAATTAATTGTTCATTCAAATTCCCAATTCAAACAACAAACCCTAATCAATTATAAAGCCAAAATTCTTCCAAACACTCCATCTTTAAGCAAATTCAAAAGTTTAAATAATAAACCCTTATTAAATTGTGAATCCTAGATTTTCAAAAGATTGCAACTTTTGTTCCAAAACCAAAACTACCGTCACGGAACAAAAATAACACTATATAGCTAGCACAAAATACATGAAATGGAACCCACATTCAAAAAACAGTAAACTTCATGCCAAAAGACAATAAAGCAAAACTTTACACGATTCATTATATATAAAAATCACAAAACTTAATTCCCTCGTGATTCAATATGATTATGGCTCTGATACCAATTGTTGGAATAATAATTCCTCTTAACCTTATGGAGATAACCATCACCATCAAATCAAGATCCATCATACCAAATCATAAATGAATATTAACATAAAGGTGGAGGCATACCTGTCTCTATAGAAGCGTAATAACTTCGATCTTCTCCTTTTGGGTATGCGATCTTCTTTTGTCGAATAGCTTTAATCCTTATTATTTAGTATGATCTTCTCTTTATGGGGTATGCGATCTTCCTCAGTCAAATAACCCTAATCCTTATTCTTTAGGGGGCGTTTGGTTGAGGAGAAATTTTTTGAATACTAGGAAAATGTAATTACTAGGAAAATGGTTGGAAAATGAGTTTGGTAGGAAAATGTAAAAAAAGTTGTTTGGTTGGAAGAAATTTTACTGGGAAAATGTGGTAAATATTATAAAGTCTATGTTTGGTTTGAGTTAAAATATTGATGGAAAAATGAGTTACAATTACTAAAATACCCCTTTTTAAAAAAAATTGAATGTAAATTACGTTAAAGTAACAGTGCCAATTGGATATTTGTGTAAAGTTTGAACATGTGTTGAAATATTTACCTAGCTAAATACAAAATACTACCTCTAAATTGTCTTTCTCAATAGTGACTTGGCTTCAATTTTAACAAGCAATTATAAAAGGCTATGCAAATAGCAAAGATGGAGAAATGTTTCAAATCTTTCTACCAAACATAGACTACATACTTTGGCAAAGTCAAATGCATGGGGAAATATTTAAAAAGCTTGAACCAAACACCTCCTTAGTGTGTTGTCTTTCTCTTGATGGGAAAAAAAAGTTGGGTTGTTATTATTTGAAATATTGGGAACCATAACCCTTTATAGTGTTTTCTTTACTGTTGGGCGAGTAAGCTCCCATTATACTTAGTTGGTCCAACACTGGTATCAATCCATTTGTCCTACACTTACTAAGAAATCTATTTGGGCACTTTATTCACATTAATTTACCCAATAGATATTACAATATGTAGCCCACAAACACATTAGGAAATATAATTTCATAACAATATCCCACTTGGGCTACACATTGACCTTAGATAATTATATCATATATCCGTAGTGCGCAACTGTATGCTATTTATCCTTAGATTTCTCCTTATATACAATCTGGTCCATCTTCTATATTAATATGAGATCATGCGGCTTTTGTCACTGTCAAGCGTAACTAAACCTTCCATGGTCATTACACTAATATATTCAATGACATAGATCAAGTATGGATGAGTGACATGAAAATTACATGCAATGTGATCTCACACCATGCCTATTTCAAAGTGGTTCAACTTTAGTCCTCATGAGATCAATCCTTAATTTTCTGCATACACAAAGCAGAAACGCAAGCACAAAATATACACATTCAAGGCCTTGTTATGCACATCAATCCTTACATTTGTTGCTAGACATAATTTTGGATAAATATAATTATGAATTTTACTAGACAACATAAAAGTTATTACGAAGGAATTTTGAATATAAAATATAAAGATGAAGGTTATATTTATAACTTCTTACAACCATATCTTAACCGTTGATTTTCGTTAATCAATGATTATTATTTTCGTAAATCAAACTCATTAATTAATTCACAATAAATATTAATCATTTATTAGCGAAAATCAACGGTTAAATTATAGTTGTAATGTTATAAATGAAAATCGATTATAAATATAATTTTTTTCAAATATAAATTTATATATATTTATTTGATACAATTCAACTAATAACATACTGATTTGATATCTCGATTGAATTGATTACCAGTTCAAATTTAATAAAATTGCTTTTACCATTTTCCATTTAACTTCCCCTATCTTATTGTTGAGGTTTACCGTCTACATGAGATTCTATCTTCTCAAAGATTAAAATATTAATAGATCAATTTCTTACTTTTTCAATGCCTCAATAAGTATATCCAGATAAAAACCCGCATTGGCATAGCGTCCCTGAACGGCAGAACCCGAACCCACAGCTCATAATCATAGGGAACCGAATCATCTCTCTCTCTCTCTCTCTCCCTTTCTTTCTTTCTTTTTTGTGTTATAAGTAATCGAAAGGTGTCGGTTTTGAAAAGAGAGTTAACAATTCGCAGAGCTCTATTTGGCTCCTCAACTCTCTATTGATGTCGTCCCAAGCCAGCCTTCTCCTTCAAAAACAGCTCAAAGGTACCTCTCTCTCTCTCTCTTGCTCTGTTTTCTATTTGATTTCGTTTCCTGAAATCCCACGCAAGAAGGTTTTGTTTGGCGTGGATTTTCCGCGATGTGCTGATTGGTTTTCCCTTTGGTCGCAGATCTTTGCAAAAACCCCGTCGACGGTTTTTCAGCCGGTTTGGTCGACGAAAGCAACATTTTTGAATGGAGTGTCACCGTAATTGGACCGCCCGACACTCTCTAGTAATACTCATCTAATCTAATATCATGCTTTTTCCAAAATTTATTCGATTTTCAATTCCAAGTTTGGATTTTGGGTTTGCTTCCTGATTCTTTCTTTGATTGTATCTTATTTGGGGTTGATTAAGTTAAGGGCAGAGGTTTTTCGCTTCCCAAAGATCACCTATTTAATTGCTTTTTTTGGGTACTTGAAAAAAGTTTTCTGGATTGGTATAGGTTCTTGATTTGATGTTTTTGTTTATTGCCTACCCTAATCAAGAATATTCATTGCGGTTGTTGTTGTTGTTGTTTCTTTCTTTGATTGACGAGATTCCTTTCAATGGTGATGCTTTCCTGAATTATTGATTCTGCTGTTAACTATTGGGATTGGTCTTGGTTGGGTTCATTGGATAATTGGATTTATATAATATTCTAAATCGTTACCACTTTGCTTTCCTCTAGTTGCATGAGTTTTGCTAGCTATTATTTTGTCTTCTCTGTGCTCTAGCATTGGAATTTTACTGACTTCTCTCGGTTGTTTTTTTGTCAATTAATTGAATTTTTTATAGCGAGGGGGGATTTTTCAATGCCATTATGAGTTTTCCACCCAATTACCCTAATAGTCCGCCATCAGTGAAATTCACCTCAGAGATATGGCACCCCAATGGTTGGTTTTTCTTATTTGTAATCTTTGCTTTGATTCAAACAACATGAGATTGAAACTTGCTGTTCAATTTGCAGTATATCCTGATGGCCGGGTTTGCATATCAATTCTTCATCCTCCTGGAGAGGATCCAAATGGTTATGAGCTTGCAAGTGAGCGCTGGACACCTGTTCATACGGTACATGAAAATATAAAGCCAAAAGCTTGGTTTTTCTTCTTTGGGGGAAGAGGGTTCGGACATTTTGTATATGAGAATATCACTCTTCATTGTTAAACCTGTGGCTTGGTTTTGATAGTTTAGGTTATCTTCAAGACCTCCAAATCCAGTGTGCTCTTGTTTAATAATCAAGTTAAAACATTAAAATGTCTAAATATATACCAGAAGCTAACCATATGATGCAATTCTTGTACTGATTTTCTCCCTGTGGTTTGCCATGTGCATGTTATGTATATAGAATGGTTTTGCGCAGAAATGATCTCCTGCAATATCTGCATTGCACTTAAAGACGGTTTTAAGTAGTTGTGTCAAAATAGAGCTCTTCATAATATACTTCTTCCCTTCCACACTTCCTCCTCTCTCCCCACATTTAAAAAATAGAGGGGGATGATATATTACCTTAAATCAATTGTCAAATAAAGCTAGGTTATTAGTTGCGTGGGATGGTTTGAGTAGTTGTGTCAAAATGGAGCTCTTCATAATATCCCACACTTCCTCCTCCCCTTTCCCCTTATTTAAAAAATGGAGGGGCATAATATATTACCTTGAATCAATTGTCAAATAAAGTTAAGTTATTAATAGCACGAGATTGTGCCACTATCACGCCATAGATGTGCGTAGTGGTGAAATCGCCTTGCTACAATGAAGGGTAGGCATCACCCAAAACCCAAATTAGATGACTTAACTTGGCAGCCAGCCATTGTTGTGTTTCCTTAAAGGAATTTTAAAAGACAAAAGAGTAAAGTTGAAATTAATGTTATTAAATTTAATTGAATTCCGTTAAATGTAGTTTTCTGGTTTTTGTATTGTTATTTTGAATTTTAAAATGAGTTTGATTGAATTTTGATTAATTATCCCATTTATTGTGGAGGGGTATTAATTATCTCATCTAAGGGGTATTAATTTTAATTTAAATCATTCACTTATCTTCTTTTGAGTTTTTGGTAATATAATCATCACAAGAATAAAATTGAACTTTTCTTTTGAAGATACTGCAAGAAAGCGTGATGAGGCTCATTTTTCTATGCTTTCATTTCAATAATGTATAAAATACTTATTATAAATTTCTATTTACTATTGTTGTTGGAGATTAGTGTAGCATAAAATTAATAGCTAAAGAAAAAAAAAAATATTGCCAAGCTGTTAGATATTACTAGTCCAATTGTCCAAATACAAACCCTATTGTTGGAGTTATATTTTTTATATTTATCATTAGTCTCTGAATAGGGGTAGAGTGCAGACACATTAGTTGTTTGAGTTTCTCAAGTTTGTAATGGCTTGCAGAGCTATAAAGTGAAAGACTAAGGTTGAATCAAGAGCTTTCCAGAATAATATTTCAAACAGAAAAAGCTGAAATGTTTGTAAAGACTTCCAAAGTTTAATGTCTTAAAACTAATTTGGAATGTTAAAAATTTAAAGTTGGGTTTGCCATTAATAACTTTGCTGGATGTCCTTGGCAAATGGTATGCCACCTCTAGTCCACCACTATTGATTTTATATACTCGCTTCTTGTGAAACTATAAGCTATGGAAACCTACTTATGAATAAATTATTTTATATGTTATCTTGCAGGTAGAGAGTATAGTATTGAGTATCATATCAATGCTTTCTAGTCCTAATGATGAATCTCCTGCAAATGTTGAAGCTGCAGTAAGTTTGGCAATTTTTTCTTATTTACTTGATTGTTTCACTGCAACGTAGAACCTACCTTTCTTTCCTCTTATATTGTATTTATTTGCATCCTAGAGAAGAAAATGCTAACTGGACTTAGTCAAAAGATGCCACAAGTGTTATTAACTTAATTGTATAGTGCGTTTTCTGTTGTAGTCAATGATTTTATCTTATGGACTGTAAATAATTTTCCCTTAATTTTCTTTAATCCTGTATATCTTTAATTATTTCAATTTGTATGCCATTATGCTTAGGTATTCAACATATTGTCAAGTTTTGATATATATGATCTTAGATTTATGAGTTGATAGCTAGTGGGTGTGAGTGGTGAGATACTGAGATATTGAATTGCATCATACATTGTGTTGTGATTAATATGGATGATTTCTACGGGTTACTAAATACAGTGGCAAATTTCCCTAGTCTAAACAAAATCCTGAAGTTTGATGTGTTGACTTGTGAAGCACAGGAGCAAAGAAAATCTGAGTGTGTTTTTGATACGTCCCCACCTTTCACACAGTGAGTTTGTTAAAGAATATTCTAGAGCAGGCTAAACAGAAAGCAGTTAGGGAATTGGGCATTGTAGGGAATTTCACAGAATAAATAGGAGTATGAAGAGAAAGTCTTGAGTATTGGGAATCTGGGATTAGACTTGGGATTGGGAGAGACTAGAAAAAACCATAATTGGGCCCGAACTAAGTGGGCTAAAAAAACCTAAAACCAATAACTCACTTCTGCACTTAGATGCTGGTCATTCCTATCTCCCCAAAGTCCAAAATGAGATTCCCAAGAATCCCCGTACCCATATCTCCAATATTGCGATGCAAGGATGCAGTCACCAGAGATGGCGAACGAATGGTGGACGTAGGGGGAGGTGCGGTGTAACAACATTTCTTCCCCACCTAGATGAGAAGATCTGGGAAGATGATCATGGTGCTTCTGGATTTGTGGGTAATGGTACAGTAGGCTATGTGGGGTTATTTGGAGTGCAATTACCCTTATGAAAGCAATTACAGAGGTGTTTGAGAGTTTGGATTTGAACGGATATAACATGAGCATTGAATTGTTGGATGCCCATGAAGATAAGATTGGGTTTCTAACTGACAAAATCAGCAGACTTAACGATTAAATTTTTAAGCAAGATAATCTTACCCAAGGAAGGTTTCGAACTGAAGTATCAAGGCAAATTTTGTCAAAAAGAAACTATCCAATGGCTGAGCATAGGACCTCCGTTTACGGAAGAAAACAAGGTACATGGGATCTAGGTGGAAGTTATCATGCTTTAGGCATACGTGGGTTCGTACAATTCAAGCAATGAAATCCATGTAGAAGGCTACGAGCCTACGAAGGACTGATCTTCACCTTGAGGACAAGGTTAAAGTTTTTTGTTTTTTTTGGGGGAGGGGGGGGGGGGAGTAAGGGCTGAAGAGTCATGCTAAGTCCAGAATGCCCAAGCCAGAAGGTCTTTAGGTCTACCCTGAAATCCTAATCGGGTATTCTCCCTGGAACAACACCTATCGGTTTCTTATAGTTTAGCATGTAAGTTTTATGTCTTCCATTACAAAAATTAGTTCCTGCAGGAAGCATCCATTTGATGGGATATCAACTTCAAGCAATATGAAAACTTGGTTTCTTGTTTATCATGATGGCTTTCTTGATATCCTTTTGGACTCTTTAAAAGTTACCGTGTAATGTATATGTCATTATTAATTTGACTCAGTACATAGTAGTTATAGAATTAGTTGCAACGTAGTTATAGAATTGGTTTGGTGGTTAGAGTTGTTAGAGCTGTGGCTTAGCTTAAATTGTAGGTTGGGGGTAGAAAAGAGGGTCATTTTGAATTGTTAGCATTGGAAAACTGAGCATTACTTCTCTTGTGAAAGTGAAAACTCTTTGTTGAAGGGTAAACCCGAGGAAGGAGAATTCTCTTCTTTTTTCTGTTAAGATTCAACAAATCTATTTGTTTTCGTTTTTTCTATTTTTCTCAGCTTTTTTGCTTGTGGGTTGGTTACACCTTATGGTCCTTTAATTTTTTATTCCAAGGCACCCTGCTTTCTGAAATTTCACACTGCTGTTCCTAATATCTTTACACCATACTCTTTTGTACATGTGATCTTCGATAGATAGTCTGAAAGTTCTTTTGAGGCTGTTCTGACCTATATGATCTTATGTTGCAGAAGGAGTGGAGAGATAGAAGAGATGATTTCAAGAAAAAAGTTAGCCGATGTGTAAGGAAGTCACAAGAAATGTTGTGATTCTTCTTCCACTGCGCCTCATCCTGCTTTTGTGAACTGGAGGATATATGAATATGTAATGGATTGGTTCATCTGTTACTGTTGATCCGTGTAAGAATGGCATTGGAAGTTGTCCACATTCCTTCTTTCTTCAGTTCTTTGCATGGCCATTTGTCATGACTTGGAAAACAAGCTGTATTCTAAGTGTTTTGGATGCTGTTTTTGACTAGTTTATTGAAAATTCACTTTGTTCATTCGCATTGCCTTTGTTTAAATTTGAGTTTAGGTGCTATGCTTGGTCTTTTTGCTGAAATATTGTGATTGCGGATTTGGCATTGGGCGGTTCAAGATCTCAAAAGGTTTAGTTCTGATTGGTTGAATTATTTTTTACTATATAAGATACAAATGTTGTATGTGAATCTTGAAGTAAAGTGCATTTAATGATGAAAAACTGAAAATACTCTTACCTCCTAAAAGGTCAGCCTTTTTCATAAAATTATCCTTCACGGTTAGCCCATGTTTCATGTCAAACTAAGAATTCGTATTTTTAACTTTATTTAAGAAATTCTTTTTGAGTGGCAAAGTAGCAACTTCGCAGCGGGATCCTGAGTCTGGGAATGATTGTTACGTCTTCTGAGAGATCAGTACCTACTTCTTTCGATATTGATGCCTTACTAGGCATATGGTCATCGAAACATGTGTTCGAATGCTATTAAGAAGCGGAGAAGTACTAAAATATGGATTCAGATTCTGTGATGTGAAAAATCACATGACAAAAGGTAGATCAATGGTAATAAAAGAGGAAAGAGAAAAAAATAGTAAAATAGATAATTACAAAATCATAACCATTGATTTAACTTTGTATGGTTGTGATCTTCTCACGTAATCATCTCATGCTTTTTCTCACATCATCAGATGATCCATTTCCACTCAAATATATATTTGTGGACGGTTTTTGTCACTGTTTTCTATAAACCACTCTTGCATCTCAACTATAGGTTATTTCTACATGCATCGAACACTCTTTGAATATATATAGACACAGCAGGTATACACATTAAGTTAAACTCTATTTATTGTCAATTTCAAATACATATCGCATATAGTGGTCTTGTTTACACGCAAACGCAAGCACAAACATAAACATGATAGCATATTTTGCCTATTGCTACCATGTCCCCTTGAATGCATGGACGATCGAGGTTCGTGACTAATCTTGTTTTGGTGGCTTCATATGGCTTCCCATTCTCACCACGTTGCCGTCGATGTCTCTGACGTAACCAACCTTCTGGCCCCACTCCTTTAGCTCAGGCTCGCTCACCAGAATCGCTCCGTTCTCCACCGCCCACTGATCCATTAAATCCAAAATCCATAGAATACATATGATGAATTATATATCAACAACTAATTACTTATTGTAAAGTAATTATATTAATTAATGAAATTAATTGAAGTATCTTACCTTGTAAGCAGCATCAACATCAGGGTAAACAAAACAAACCTCGACCGGTGGTCTTTCTCGACTAGATCGAGCGGTGTGGACAGCACCGGTCAGATCATCGGTCTCGTGCTGGTGAATCGGAGTGAAAGCGACAGTTGTGTTGCCGGTATCCAACTCTCCCCATCTATATTGAAGAGATGATTAAAAATGAATCAATGTTTAATAACATCACCTTGTTTTGTGATTTCGATTTGACGATGAAAAATGGTAGTAAATAGAAAAATGAAAAATATACCTGTGGGACTCGTCTAAGCGACGAACAGCATAGCCGAATGCTTTGGCATAGAAAGCTACCGACTTGGCTACGTCTTTTACGTAAAGCACCACGTACGCTAACACTGGGTTGAGATTCGATGCCATTGATGACTTGAGATTATTGATACGCTCTTCTTCTTCCTCTTCTCATCACATTCATACCCTCACTCCCAGTTTTGAACCTCCAAGCCTCGTGCGTGGAACGAGTCAATTTTCAATGTACGTGGAATTCATCGGGTGTCGCACGTGGAGTTCATGCACGTTGTCACTTGCTAGTTTCTTTTTCTTTTTTTATTTTGGGTTTACATGAGTAAGAGGCGGGATTGCACTTTCAAGGAAAGCTGATATCAGCATTCTAGTGACAACCTCTCTAATGGACCCAGTGTGCAGGTTATGTTTTTGCTTATTATTGTTAATAAATTTTGTTGCCTTCATATGTTTTTTTAATTATTGGAGCTGATTTTATTTTACGGCGTTAATTATTCTTTTGGGTAAGTTGAAGTTTCTCAATTCTCATATATCTCTATGACATGTAACTAAAAAGAGACCTGCATGTAACTATCTAGTGTTTTTCTGTTTTTTTAGCTTTTCTCTCCAAAAAAAAAAAAAAAGAAAAGAAAAGAAAAGAAGAGACATGCATAAATATACTCCCCAATTATTCAATTGTAATTGATCTGATCGGTTCAAGATAAGTTGAGCTAAATCACTCACGGTTGAAGGTTGAAAATTTTGGACTTAAAATTGTAATAAGTGTGCTTGAATCTATAGTGATATGTACTTCTCCTTATGAGAGCATTAATGAGATTTTGGCGCGATGGAAATGATTGAGGGAGGTACTTGCAAAGACACTTTGACTCTCAAGTCAGTATATAATATGTTATAGTTAATTGGAATCAGATTATCATACGTGAGTTTGTTCCCTTCATATTTATAGTAAGCTTTCTGTTGCCTTATGTAGGCGACATACCTTCTTATTGATTGTTGTGGGTTGCTGCTTTTCTGGCTATTTTCTTTCTGAACAAATATATACAATAACTTGTCTTCTTATAATAGTAGTAAGCTGGAGCTGTCTTACTTGTGTTACCTCTTATGCGCAGTGAAACTCAATTTGTTACTAAGATCTTTCTTAGTCTTTAAGTTATATAAGGCAACTTTATATGATAATTCGCACAATATTTGGTGTGTATATTAATAAGATCAATAAACCTTCATGGACCTTTTTGGGGCTTAAAACCTTATGAAGTTATATGTTATCTAGATCAGTAATCAAAAATACAAACTTCTATGTTAACTTCTTTTGCTTTTGGTACATGTCTACATGCGTTATGCGTACATCAGTAGATGGTCGAAACCGAAATGGCATAACCAAGAAGAGCGCACACCGACAGAATCAGATAACAATTGCATCAAAGCTATCACAACTTAAAATTTAAAGTAAATGCCCAAATTGGTCCCTGACAAAAAATCTCGGTGCCCAAATTAGTTCCTAACAAAAATAAACTCGTTAGATAGTCCCCAACAAAGTGAAACAAGACCCACGTTAGTCCTTCTGTCAATCCAAAAGTGACGGTGTCAATGACGGTGATGATGTGTAACGTTAAGTGACACGCTGAAGGTCACGTGGGTTAAGGAACGACGTCGTTTTGAGAGAAGCATACACGTTGGACAGACCTGTTCTCTTTCATCCAAGGAACATCGTCGTTTGTTTGTTAGGGTTCAATCTTAAACCAGAAAGCATGGCGTGGAATCGAAGATTGAACGCATGAATTTGGGGCGAATTGATTGACGGTTTAGTGAAGGTGGGTTTATACTGTACAATTTAGGGTTTTTCTTAGTTTTTATGCCATGAATATCTCTTCTGGAAGGGGAAGCTCAAGTAGTTCATGTGGGTCCAGAAGTGGAAGAAGGAGAGGTGCTCCATTGTGTAAATGTGGGAGGAACAGTGTTGTTTACACCTCCAAGACACTTAGAAACCCTAATAGATCATTTTTTGGGTGCCCTAACTTCAAGGTGAGGTTGATTTTTTCATGTGTTATTTTTCTAATGTCAATGTTATTAACTGTATAGTTGAATTTGATTTAGGAAAAGAAGCCACACTGTAACTTTTTTACATGGGTAGATGATGCTACATCTGATACCATGGAGTTGGAAGATTGGACAATTAACAAGCTGGAGTTGAATGTTGCTGAAATGGAGTTCAAGTTGAACTTTTTGGACATGAAGCTCAATGATGAACTGCAGCTAGAGGTGAATGACCACAAAAAGAAGATTCATGAGCACTGTATAAAGATTGAAGACATATCATTGAAGATGTAGACATGTATCTCATTGCCATTTCCTAAAGCAGCCTCACACATGGCACACACATCCGAATCTGTACTAAGTGGTCTCAGCCCTTGTTCCAAATCGGGTACCCCAGGCTGTAGCCACATCATCTTCTTGCATTTTTCATACCCATATTGCTTGAACAGGGTGTCAAGGTCACAGATATTGCAGTAGTCAATGTCCATCTCTAGCAATGAGTCCACCCTTCCATTTATATAGGTCATCACTCCATCTTCATCTCTGACTAAAATACCACCATGATGATAAACAATCACTATGTATTCGGACATCTCTCAAAACCAAAAAACCGAACCTATCATTAATCCAACGGCCACAGACTTTAGACCACTTAAACAATACAAAGCAATAAAAAAAGCAACATTTTTTATGGATGCTAACTTTTTTTTCAACGATTACCATGGGTTTTTAATTGTTACTGGGTCAACCATGTCCCCTTTTGTAAAACAGGGACCACACCACCCGGTAGTTACATTCTTTAACACAAAACCCTAAATGGAAACATGGATCACAATGTCCACTTAGCACGCAGAACAAAACAAGTATTAAACAAAGGGGAACAACATGGGGACCACAAACAAAGGATGACAAAGAACAATGAAAAAATGTTCCAACATATAAAGAGTCTCTTACCTTTTTGTACGGAAGGTTCAACCTCACACAAAACCAAAGAACGTTTCTTCCACTGGTTCCCTCCGATTGTTGAAAAGCTTCGTAATCCAAACGCAGCCGAGTGTTTACTACACGGTTGTCTTCCTTCCTTCTCAACAATGGCCCGTCGAAGTTAGAAGAGAGGGAAATGGTAAAGTGTCTAACGGTTAGGTGAGGGGCAATTTTGGGTTTAATTACAAATGGTCTGTCCAACGTGTATGCTTCTCTCAAAACGACGTCGTTCCTTAACCCACGTGACCTTCAGCATGTCACTTACCGTTACACATCATCACCGTCATTGACACCGTCACTTTTGGATTGACAGAAGGACTAACGTGGGTCCTGTTTCACTTTATTGTGGACTATCTAACGAGTTTTTTTTTGTTAGGGACTAATTTGGGTACCGAGTTTTTGGTCAGGGACCAATTTGGGTCTTTACTCTAAAATTTATAAGAGAATTATTACTTTTTTTAAAGTTTTTTTTTTGTTTGATCTATAAAATTATTATAAAGTTTTTTAAAATACATTTTTAATTATAAAGTAAAACTTAAACAAACATGTCATAAACCAATTAATCATTAGCATATTCTTGTTTAGTTTTAAGTAATGAATTTATATTTAAGATAGTTACGTATTAACTACTAATTAATTTAGTAATTCAGTCTCCGCAAGTTTATGCGCTGCGCGAAAGGGTAATTGTACAGCACATGGATCAAAATCAGCGGATCTCCACTGTTCACGTGGATACGTACCCAACCAGCGGCTGAAAATCTGGTTAGGTCTTCCAAACTAATGATCGAAGACTCTGACGTAACTTGGAAAGTGAAGGAGCATTTGGTGGAATCGGCGACGAGGGAAGAAGAACAATAAGCTCAGACACTGATCCAACCATTTCATCAGTTTCACTCCCATTCCTAACCTCCGAAGCTGATAAATCTGTATTTATTTCAGGTAAGCTTTTGAAATTGATCGTGATCGGAATATCTATTAATCGGTTTAAGGAGTTAGGGTTTAGTTGATAAATCTATTTGCTTCTATTATTATTATTATTTTCAATTATTGCTTTCATCTGTAAATTAGGGAAAACTGCTCGTTTTATATTCATACACCGATTCGTTGCGAATTTTGATATCTGCTAATTTAGAAGTGCACGCTCTCTAACAATGCCTTAACAAGATATTTATTTCATGGTTCCTTTTATTATTAATATTTTTTAATTTATATTTCTGTCCAAAAATTTTAAAAGTTTATGGCCCTCAATCACTCATATCCGTATTATTGATGATTTTTAACATTATTTTCGGAAAAGATCTGCCTGCTACTTTGTATTATATGCTTGTCATATTCAATTTGATTCATACCCACAATAATGATGCAAATAATAGCTTATCCAAAGGAAACCAAATCTATTACTGATTCTCTTCTATACCATAAAAAGATGCTCTCGACAGTAAGCATTATGTGTTCTACTTTTTCATAATCTTCATGTGCGAGCTTTCATCGACTTTTGCACCTTTCTTTTATTATTATTATTATTATTATTATTTTTCTAACAATCCAAATAAAATCATGATGTTACATATTACGCACTGAGGAACTGACTGCAGTTCATTGATTGATAAGATTCCTATCCATATCCGAGATAAGGAGGTACAACTTGCGTTCACAGCCCCTTGGGCCAGAGAGGTATGGCTTCCAGTTCTTCCATGGATTCCAATAGCATCCAAAGCACCCCTCCATCTCAGTGGATCCGTAAATATGACGTGTTTATCAGTTTTAGAGGTAGTGACACCCGCAACACTTTTGTTGATCATCTTTATGCTCATCTCACCCGAAAAGGTATTTTTGCCTTTAAAGATGACGAAAAGCTCCAGAAAGGAGAATTCATTTCACCACAGCTTGTACAAGCAATTAAAAACTCACGGGTTTCTATTGTTGTCTTCTCAAAAGATTATGCTGCCTCATCATGGTGTTTGGATGAAATGACTACTATAGCTGAATGCCGTGAAGAATTGAAACAAACTGTTTTCCCAGTTTTCTATGATGTGGATCCATCTCATGTACGGAAAATGAATGGGGTGTATGAGAATGCCTTTATTTTACAAACAGAGAAATTCAAACAACATCCAGGCAAGGTTGATGGATGGAAGAGAGCTATGACGGATTTGGCCAAATCAGCTGGTTGGGATGTCAGGAATAAGTAAGTTTTAAGGTTATTCTCTTTGCTGCTTTACATTCTTAACATGAGTGTCTGGTTACGAACAAAAGTTTTATCCAATAATTTATTTTCCTAATATGAATTTCTGCTTCTTCTTTTTGTCCCTTTATTTTCTTTGGGGATAAATTTAGCAGTCTTATGTTTTTTCCTATCTCTTTCAGGCCGGAGTTTGGAGAGATTGAAAATATTGTTCAGGCAATGATAAAAATATTGGGTCATAGATTCTCAGGGTTTGCTGATGACCTTATTGGAATACAACCTCATGTAGCACAATTAGAAAGCATTTTAAAATTAAACTCAAAGGATGATGCTTTTCGAGTTTTAGGAATTTGGGGAATGGGTGGAATAGGAAAGACAACTCTTGCTACTGTTTTATATGACAGAATCTCTTATCAATTTGATGCTTGTTGTTTTATTCACGACATAAGCAAAATTTATAGAGATGGAGGTGCTATTGCTGTGCAGAAACAAATTCTTCGTCAATCTCTAGAAGAAAAAAATCTAGAGACATACAGTCCTTTTGAAATATCTGGGATTGTAAGATATAGGCTACACAACATAAAGATCCTTGCTGTTCTTGACAATGTTGATCAATCAGAACAATTGCAAGAATTAGCTATAAGTCCTAAATTTCTTTGCTCAGGAAGTAGAATAATCATAACCACTAGAGATGAGCATATTCTTAAAGTGTATGGAGCTGATAGAATTTATGAGGCTCACTTGATGAATGATGATGACGCTCACAAACTTTTATGCAGAAAAGCCTTCAAAAGTTATGATTCAAGCAGCAATTTTGTGGAGTTGATCCCTAAGATACTACAATATGCTCAAAGTCTTCCATTAGCAATTAGAGTTATGGGTTCCTTCTTATGTACCCGAAATGCCACCCAATGGAGAGCTACCTTGGATAGACTGCGGAATAATCCAGACCAAAAAATTGTGCAAGTGCTGAAGATAAGTTTTGAAGGGTTAGAGAAAAATGAGAAAGAAATATTTTTGCACATTGCTTGTTTCTTTAAAGGAGAGAGGGAGGATTATGTAAGGCGAGTTCTAGATTGTTGTGGATTAAACCCTGATATTGGAATTCCACTTATCACTGAAAAATCCCTCATAACCATTAGAAACCAGGAAATTCATATGCATGAATTGTTGCAAGAATTGGGGAAGCTAATTGTTCAGCAACAATTTCCCGAGAAACCAGGATCATGGAGTAGATTGTGGCTTCTTCAGGATTTCCATCATGTCTTGATGACAGAAACGGTAACGATTTAAATACCTTTCCAAAATTAAAGATATATAGACAATTTTTTTTTTAACAAAAAAGGAGTTCATTGATTAAAGTAATTTCATTTTTTCCCCTTTTTCTAACATATTTATTCTTATTTTTTTTAGGGAACGGACATGGTTGAAGCCATAATTCTAGATCAAAAAGAGGATGTCTCCAAATGTCCTCAGTTAAGGGCTGAAGGATTATCAATGATGACAAGTCTTAGACTGCTCATATTGTATCATAAGAGTTTTTCAGGAAAGCTAAACTTTCTTTCTAACAATCTACGGTATCTTTTGTGGCACAGTTATCCTTTTGCTTCTTTGCCAGCAAAATTAGAGCCGTATTATCTTGTTGAATTGAATATGCCTAATAGCAGCATACAACGGTTATGGGAAGGCTCCAAGGTACTTCAATGTTATTTTTTTTATTTTTTATTTTTCATATTTTATTGGTTTAAAGAAATAATGAGAAATGGCATTATAGATGGATTTTTATTTTATTTTATAGTGACATTTTGAAATTCAAAATGAATATTATTTACATAAAATTTTTAATATGTCCGAAAGGCTTAAAAGAATCGTGTTTTCAAATATTTATTAAAACACGTAGCACAAATTATACAGATGCATACACAATTTATTTTTTATTCTATGGTATATATGGAAAAAATTTAAATTAAAAATTTACTTTAAGAGTTTTATTTTCTTTAAAAAATTTAAAAAAGCTATTTTAAAAATGATAAATGAGTGAGATGTGATTTTTTTTAAAAAAATATTTTTTCTTACTTTAAAATATAGTAAATCAATATTTTGAAATATGAAAAAAAGTTGTATAATTTTGATAAATTTTGAATTTAAATTTTTTTTACTATTAACTGTTCAATTATTTATGTACGAATCATTAAGAGTTTGCTTTTTAAGGTAGTTGCTACCATATTTACTCTATTTTAATGACCTACATCATTGGCTTAGATTTTAAAAAAATTTGTACAAGATAAACAAAAATTAAACTGTTTTTTAATACTATTTTTCCAAGTTAATGAGAGTGAGTTTATATAAATAAAAAATTGCTTTTTCTAAGTTTTCACTCTAAGGTCGAAGGCGTATACCAAAGTGAATTTATGAAATTCAAATTTTAATACAACATGCTAACAATTAGTTGCTAATATATTCTCTCCTGATAGGATCTTCCGAATTTGAAAAGGATGGATTTGAGCAACTCCAAATATCTTATGGAAACTCCAATGTTTAAAGGGATTCCAGAACTTGAGAGACTAGATCTTGCAGGATGCATAAACTTATGGCATGTCCATCCATCCATTGGACTTCTTACAAAACTTGTTTTCATGAGTTTGCGAAACTGTAGCAATCTGGTCTGTCTCGATTTCGGCACTTCATCTAATTTAATTTCTCCAAGGGTTCTACACCTCTCTGGTTGTACAAAACTTGAAAGCACGCCAGATTTTGCACAGGTTTCAAATCTTGAGTACCTTGATATTGATCAATGTACAAGTTTATACAAGATTCATAAATCTATTGGGGCTCTTGCAAAGCTTAGATTCTTGAGTTTGAGAGACTGCACAAGTCTTGTCAGTATACCCGATACCATTAACATGATGACGTCTCTTATAACTCTAGATTTATCCGGTTGCTTGAAACTTATGAAACTGCCCTTGGGACGAACTTTCAATTTTTCTTCTTCCACTCTGGAATCTTTGATTCATCTGGACTTGGGCTTTTGCAATCTACGGGAAATACCTGATGCTATTGGAGAGTTAAGGTGTTTGGAAAGACTGAATCTAGAAGGAAACAATTTTGTTTCAGTACCTTATACCATGGCGAGTCTACATAGTTTAGCATATTTAAACTTTGCGCATTGCCATGAGCTTGAATCTTTACCTGTGATCCCATCAAAAAGTGCTTTATCAGTGGGAAGGTATTTTAAAATGACATCGGAATCTCGTAATCATAGGTCAGGATTATATATCTTTGACTGCCCCAAGTTGGCCAATATATTGTGCAGAGATTTTAAAGTATCCTTAAAGAATCAGTGGTGGTGGTTGGTATGTATTTGGCTAGGAAGACTAGTTCAGGTGCGTGCTATGCATATCTTCCTTCCCAGTTTATCAATCAGTCACTTTTTCTCAAACTCTGAAACGTTTATGGTTTTTTTTTTTTTCGTATGATATTTGTACCATCCGAAGGATTTACAATCTATTGGGAGTAGATTCTTTCGTGTGTAAATTCAATTATATGACTTGGTTACATGAAAACTTTTTATCTTTATCCCTCTTAGATATTCAGTAATGTAAATCCTCCAAAATAGACACAACATATTTAAACATGTTGATTTTCATGAGCTTAAATATTTTCCTAATCTCCCATTAGATAGTGCTTCATCAGTTGTAAGGTATTTTCAAATTTTCCTAATCCCAATTTAGTAATCTTAATTCATGGTTATATTATATATTTTTGACTGCCTGCGTCTCACTAATGGTACTTAGTACTTTTCGTGGCTTATATATAAGATTAGTAGGGGTGCACACTTTGCATGCTTCCCTTGCACTCTCTCTTGCTCTGATTTTCATATTTGTTTTTTTTTTCTTTTGGTACTAGGAACCCCGTCACTTTCGTTGTGGCTTTGACATTGTTGTTCCTTGGGATGGGAAAATCAATGAAATGTTAATTCCAGATTGGTTCAATCATCGATTTAATGGGGGTAAAATAATAAGGATAGTAAACTCTGATGTGGATCGCAACTGGATTGGTTTTGCCTTTTATGTAGCTTTTGAGGTAAACATTTCTGGTTCTTCAGAGTCATCCTCCTTGCCACTTCCGCATCCTTTTTATCTCTCTTTTGAAAGTGAATACACAGAAGAACGCTTTGATATGCCACTTACTTTAAAACTAGAAGAGATTGATGGCTCAAAATATTTTTGGATAATCTATATCTCTCGGGAGCACTACCATTTCTTGGAAGCAGGAGCACATATTACATTTAAAACCCGTCCAGGTTTGATGATAAAGGAATGGGGGTTAAGCAAACTCATCAATCATGAGAGAATGGCGTTCCTAAATCCGGTTACAAATCGTCCATTTTTCCGTTCATGTCCTCGTCATTGATAATGTTGAAGAAAGCAACAGCTCTAACCCTAAAATCCAGCTTCCTTACAATTGGTTGGTCACCGAGGAAGAGGAAGCCGAAAATTTTGAAGCAGAGGCAAAAGAAAATAATCTCTCTAATCTAGGTCTTTAGATGGGGCAGTCACAAGTTAAGCACACAACATCTTCCCGGAGTCCTAAGGTAATTATATTTCCAAAGCTATGACACATTATTAATTAATAAGTAATTACTAAGGCTCATCCCCTTTGTCTTCGCTACAAGACCGTAGTCTTTTCAACGAGAATATATTTAGTGCTAGAGTATAACTGCAACTTAAATTATTATTACATGCGGACAAACAATTATACTAAACCCGTGCAATAGCATATTATTCTTAGGGGTGGTAAACGAGCCAGGGGCCTTTGGCTCGGCTCGTAAAGGCCTGAGCTCGTTTAATAAAAGCTCGTGTTGAAACTAGGCTTGGACTTGTATAAAAGCTCGTTTAATAAAAAGGCCTCAGGCTCTAATTCAGAAGCTCGGCCTTAGAGCCTCCCAGGCTAGCTTAGTATATAAATATTTATTTATATTTTTTATACTACTTGTAATAACTCTCTCATCAATTTATTTCACCCCATTTTATTGGTTTAACAGACTTTTTGAATGTTTTGTTCTATATTATGCTATTTGGATATATATTGAATTTATGTATATTTATGGAATTACTAGTGCTGTTCTATATTATCCTTCATCCTCCTTCACACAAACAAATCCATAAAAACTCATTCGTTCCAGTGTACATTGCTCGTTTGTGTCAATTTATTTTTTGTTTTATTTTTTTTTTATTTTTTTTGTTGACACTTTTTTTATAATGGGCTAAGATAATATAACCTGTTATCTACCTTCTCTCACTTTAATTTTATTTATTTATTGTAGACTTTGTAAATTATTGCTGCAAATTGGAAGCTAAGGTTTCTATCTGGAAATTGATTTTTTGTGGAATTCTGTTCTCGTATTTTTATTCTTTAACATGCTAACAAGCTAAGATAGGCTTCACACAGGCTTTTATTTTTTGTAAATAAACTAGGCCACAGGCCAATATTATGTTCGTAACAGGTTAAGGTCAGTCAGACACGTTTAAATACAGGTTTGATCCGTTAAGATCAAAGCTCGGCTCGTTAACACACGTGTTATTTTCCCTATTATCGTGTTATTTTCTATTTCAAAATTGTGTCAGCTTTCTGTTATAACAAACTACTAAACCCATGGGTGGTACGGTATATATACTAGCATAAGTGGCAATGAAAAAACATATGAAAATTGTACAACTTCTCTCTCCCTATATAGTTCTTCCTCTTATACTAGGTTCCTTTTCTCTTCTCTTCTGTTTAGAGGTGTTCAAAAAAAAATCAAATGATCCAAACTAATTCATCAACTGAACCAAATCAGTTCCAAAAATTGGTTTTTATAAAATAGTTTTCATATACTAGTTTGGTTTTTATAAAAAATCAATCCAGTTTTATAATTTTGATTTTGGTTTGGTTATCTATTTTCACAACAGTTTGGATATCCAAAATAACTAAATCATATCTATTCCCCCCCCCCCCCCCCCCCCAATTTGTCTTACGGTTACCTGCTAACATAACGTTTGCAAGTTTGGTAGATTGTATTGCACAAATACCTGCCAAAATAATTTTTCTTGAGATTCATTAGACCCTGTTCCTCTGCCAAAGTTGTCCATGAAAGAAGTTAAGTAATTGAGGGTTACGTTTTAATTTACCTCTGATCTTTGTATTTTTTTTCCCCTTCTCTCTATAATATTTTATTTTATCTGGTTTTTTAATATTACGGTTTATATAAAATTGACTCAATGAGTTTCTCATAATACTTTTATCGCATTAGTGTTTCTCATATTATAGAAGATAATTTTATCTCTTATATACATCTATTGCTCAAAATTATTGGCAAAAAAATTTATTTATTGCAATTTAATTAAATAATTACGCAAATATCACATTTTGGAAAATATTTACGCATTTATTTCACACTGTGACGCCTCTTTTGGGCATCACATGTGACACCCCACTGGGGCGTCTCTCATGAGAGGAAGACGCCCAAATGGAGCGTCTCTCATGAAGTGGTGACACGTGTCATTTGTTTTTTCAAAAAAAAAATTAATTTAATCATAAAACTTATAAAGGCCATAACTTTTGACTCGAGTATCCAAATCAGGTAATTCTTTTTTTGATTTCACATAACTTTTCGAGATCTACGTAATGACATCTCATTTGACATATTTTATTTCTCAAAAACACAATTTTAATTTGCAAGAATGGTATTATAAGAGCGGTTAAACTCAGAAGCCTCTGAGTTCTGGATTTGTGATTTAATATAAAAAAATAAATAAAATTTTTGATTTGTGATTTAAATTTTTTTATAATAATTTTCTTTATTATAACAAAATTTTGGTTTGTGATTTAAATTCAAAATAAAAAAAAATATTATTAATAGGAAAACAAAATAAAGATTTGATTTGTGATTTAAACTAAAAAAATCAATTTGAAAAATATGTAGAAATATAGAAAATAATGAAATAAATATTATAAATTTCTAAGGAAGAAGGATATCATTTTTAAAATTAATGATTAATGCTATAAGCTTCTAGGTTATTATTTGTGGTCTGAAATTAATGATGGCTTATGAATGTTTTTCAAAAATAAAATTACCTAAATTAGGCGTGATTTCCTCTTGATTGAAACCCAATTTAGACGTGATTAGTGATGTGTTAGGTTTTGACAAGTGTTGACACGCGTCACATTTTTAAACTCAGAAGCCTCTGAGTTCTGCGTTTGTGATTTAAACTCAAAAATTTGATTTGTGACTCACAAGTAACAATTATTATTAATAAGGAAAACAAAATAAAGATTTGATTTGTGATTTAAACTCAAAAATCAATTTGAAAAATCTGTATTAATAAAGGAAATAATTAAATAAATATTCTAAATATCTAAGGAAGAAGGATTACCTGATTTAAATTTAAATTATGTTGGTGAGAAATAAAATATATCAAACGAGATGTCATTGCGTAGATCTCAAAAAGTTACGTGGAATCAAAAAAAGAATTACCTAATTTGGATACTCGAGTCAAAAGTTATGACCTTTAGAAGTTTTACGATTAAATTAATATATTTTTTGGAAAAACAAGTGACACGTGTCACCACCTCATGAGAGACGCCCCATTTGGGCGTCTTCCTCTCACGAGAGACGCCCCAGTGAGGCGTGCAATAAATGCGTAAATATTTTTCAAACTGTGATATTTGCGTAATTATTTAATTAAATTGCAATAAATAAATTTTTTTGCCCAAAATTATTATGAATTATTAATTCTATCTCTCAAATATGGTGGGTTTGGTTTCTACTAAAATTATTGATAATGTAATTTTATCTTTTATGTTTTTGCTGATTGTGAGCATATATATGGTAAAAACAAGAATTTTCATGACTGCGAGCATCATTGCCATATGGATGAATCCATGATTAATGGTTTCAATAGTGAGCATTTTCATGTTTAATCAAAATAGCTAGATATTTTTAGCAAATAAATAAATACTAAAGGTATTTTTTATTTTCTCAAAAAATAGCACAATTCATCAAAAATCGGTTTTGAAAATGTTATAAAATCGGTTTTGAACTTGAAAACCGGTTTATGGTTCATGACCGGTTTAAAATTGCTAAACTGTTTTTGATTGATTTTAATCAAAATCGGTGGTGAAACATTAACCGATTTTAGAATCGGTTTCAAACCGGTTTGGATAAAGAAAATCGATTCGGTTTTTGTCAAAACTGATTCTGAACCGATCCATGCAGATTCTTCTATTCTTAATTTTGGTACCGAGCGCTACATAATCTGATATATCTTGTTTGAAAAGATAATAAACATGGATGTGTCAAGTTGAATTATGCTTTAGGTATTAGCGTATTACTTAAGTGATGTTTATTCATTGTTTATCTTAGTTGTTTTCGAAACAATACTTGTTACATAGATATCATATGAAACATAGATTTGTGGCATTTTCATATGTCAACTGCAGATTTTTGGAATTTTTTTTTATTTTTTTATTTGCTTGAATGATTAACACTTTGCACACTGCATTTTTATTTTTATAGACAAAGTTTTAAATACAACTTATATTTATAAAAAAGAGTCTAGACTATTTTTATGAACTGTTGTTAAAGATAAACATTGATGGTTCGATTGGAATAGGAGGACAAAAGAACTGGGAGGAATTATCAAGAACAGTTCAGGCAGATGGATAGTTAGTTTCTCCATAAATCTAGGTTGGGGAAACTCGCTAGCGGCTGAGCTCGGGGTTTCCTCACTGGTAACGACCTTGCTTTGGAGTGGAGATTTAGAAAAGTATGGGTTGCTGCAAGACTCCTTGGTTGTCACTCTAAAAGGATGTTAACATCACTTTTATTGATTTAAAACATATTCTCAAAAATAATTTATGGTCAATCTAACTTTAATTATATAAATAAATTATTATTTGATAAATCAATCTTCGTAGGATCGACAACCTTACTATTATCACTTTATTACTTATACAACTGGTATATTTACTGAAGTCGTAATAAATTTTTAAAGTGTCACACATAGGGTACAAAAACTTTCTCAACTTTAAAGGTGTGCAAAAAAATTTAAAAGTAACAATTTGAATTGGAAACTGAACAAAAACTGAAATTTTATAAATAATTTTTAAATTCAAACAATTATTTAAACCGTTCAGTTCTGATTTTTAATCGGTTTTGAATCTTTTGATTCCACCCATTCCAAAATCTCTTTTTCTCAATTTTTTCTCCCTCTTCAACAAATTGATTCCACCCATTCCAGTTCATTGCTCGAATCCCCGTTTCTTTAAATGTTAAATACGAACTGTAGAGATATAGTTCCAAATGCATGTCTAGAACAACAAATGCAGGTTGACTAAGGAGGGGGACAAACTTGATTTGATTCCCCGTAAACGATGGATACTAGGCGCTGTGTGTATCTACCCGTGCAATGTTGTAGCTAATGCATTAAGTATCCTGCCTGGAGAGTACGTTCGCAAGAATGAAACTCAAAGGAATTGACGGGGGCCCGCACAAGCAGTGGAGGATGTAGTTTAATTTGATGCAAAGCGAAGAACCTTACCAAGGCTTGACATGCCGCGAATCTATATAACACCGATACCGACACGGGACACGTGACACGATACGACACGACACTTTGATACGTTAATTCTAAAAAATGTTAGATTTCGACACGTTAGGACACATTTTGATATTAAATAATATTTTTAATTTATGTAGTATATATTATAGGGATTTGTATTTGTCATTTAACATGACACAACAAACTTTTCTACACACACAACATTTTGTGGGACCCACACTTTTTGAAGAAAAAAGAAAAAGAAAAAATTACGGCACATAAAACGAATCTCTATAACATTACACAATCATTTTTCCTACAACATAACTCTTATAAAACCCTATATTATATTTAATATTCAATAATTTAACAAAAAAATGAATCTAAACTTATAATATTCATAAATTTTGCAAAGAAACATAAGATATCTCAAATATTTATATTAAATTTAATAAAATGGTAATCGTAATCTAACGAATCTAATAGTTGGAACTAAAAACTCAATGCAACGTAATCTTTGATTTTTTTTTTTTGAATTTCTATAATGCGTGTTGGAGTGTCGGGAAATATCGGACACGACAAGTCAGGGTTTTTGAAGTGTCGGTGCTTCATAGTTGACTCCGATCAAATATGGCTAGTTACTTAGCAGAATTAAAGAATTAGTTATCGACTTTCCGAGTGAACGACTAGCCCTAAAAAATAATTAAAATATTTATATATAAAAAATAACAACGGAAGTGGCAAAGATAGCATTTTTTTGTGTAGAGATATTTTAATCGGTTCATTGCTTTGAGATTAGTTCGATTCGGAGCGAATCCAGGGACTAAGACTTTAAACCCCTCCTAAAATGATAATAAGAAGGATCAAATACATGTTCTCATCTCACTTGCTTATTTTTCTAGCTCCAACTGAAATATCATTATTTAGTATTGGCAAAAATAGCATTAAAGAGATATTTCTTTAACCCAGATCCGCATTGATCCACATAAGAAATTGGCATGGGTATTGCAACAATCCACGTGGACAAATTTAGAAAAAATGGCTATATAAATTAGGAAGGGTAATTGTAGTCTCATGTCACATAAAAATTTTGTTATCTCCTACACACTCAATTTAAAGTGGGGTCCAATAGAAAGAAAAATAAAAAAAATAAAAAATAATTGACACAAATATCGATGTATGGACATAAGATAAAAAAAAATTCCTATTGCATAAGAGTAATATTGCCCAATTAGGAATTATTTTATCTCTTATATATTCATAAAAGGGTGTGGGCCTTATATGGGGTCATGAAGAGAAGAGGAAAACAAAGTATGTCATACATACTTTTATATGTGTAGAAAATAAAATTATCTCCAAAATAATCTCTACAAATTGTTGTAGGTCATTTCATTATGGATTTATCATTTATGAAATCCAACTATATTTGTATTATATCAATTATCAGGTATTGTTAGACTTAAAAACTAAAAAGAATTTCAATTTTTAATTAAAGTTTCCCGATTTTTTTTTTTTTGCGTCATTTGTATATCACAAAATTTCATAAAAATTTCAATTAATTTTATAATGATTTACTGATAAAAAAATTATTGTTTAATGTTTCTTTTTTTTGTTGTAGAAAAAATTTATCTGCCACAGTCATATAAAAATGAGTGAGTTTCATTAATTTTTTGCTCTATTCTCTTTACAATAGAATCCACTCACTTTTATGAGTATGGAAGAGAAATTTTTTTACAGAAAAAACAGAAATATTTTTTCCAAAAAATTATTAGTAAAATTTAAAATCAATATTTTTAAAACAATTCTTTTATATTCTTAAAATAGAAAAAACATTGATCCATGTCATTTTATATGTGTCATCTTATTTATAATGTTACAAATATTATTAAAATAAAAGGTAATAATGGCATATGTAATCAAAATCTTATACATTAAATGATACATAATAAAAAATTCTTATTCCCAAAAAAAGAAGCATTTAGGATATTTTTATATTGATACTATCTATATGAATTAAATTAAAACCTAGAATCTGATTTCTATGTTAAGTTACGCTATAGTGGTCTTTTTCTCATAAATATTTGATTAAATAATTTATGCTAAATTAAACATGAAGTTACTTGAATAGGAGAAAGAGTAAATAACCTCATAAAATATCAAATTTCTAATATTATTATGACTCTCGAATTTTAAATATTTGTCATTAATTAGTTACAACTTACAAGTTTAACTAACAATATCAAACAGCCCTCCCTCTTCAGAATTTTTGTTGCCAAAAAAGGTAATGCAAAAATAAAAGAAAACTAATAAATGGAAATTACAAATTGTTAATGCAGCGCGAGAAAATCGTAGTTAGACTTTATTTATATAAGTTATGCAAATTAAAGATGTATTTAGATTAAATATTCAAAACTATTTTTATGCTGAAGCTTATTGAAATTTATCTAAAATTTATAAGAAAATTATAAATTATTTTTTTATTTTTTATTTTCAATTTATCTAATTATTATAAAAACTTTAAAATATATTTTAATTAAAAGAAATACTTTTTGATAAAGAAAAACTCGAACAAACATATCATAAACCAAATAATTATTAACATATTATTGTTTATTTTAATGATGGTATATCCTTAACATATTATTATTTATTTTAATGATGGTATATCCTTCCGCACAATAGTAATATCTAATAGGATATAATTACTAATTAATTTAGTAAGAAGTCTACGCAAGTTTATAAGCTTTCCATGTGTGCCCCCGTCCGTGACATTGATTGACATTGACGTCTCAATAAGCGGATCTCCACTTAAACAAACTTCATGTCATAAACCAATTAATCACAAGCATATTCTTGTGTAATTTGAAGGATCTGGATCAAAAAATCACCTGAACATGTGAAGAAATCATAACCATATATAAATAGATTAATGATAATAAAAGAGAAGAGAAAAAATATATTAAAATATGTAGTTACAAAATCATAACTGTTGATTTATTTTTGTATAATTATGATCTTCTCACATGACCATGTCATGTTTTTTTTTTTGACATTAGAAGATACATTTCCAATTTGAAGTAATGAATTTATATTTAAGATAGTAATGTATTAACTACTAATTAATTCAGTAATTCAGTCTACGCAAGTTTATGCGCTGCGCTAAAAGGTGATTGTACAGCACATGGATCAATCAGCGGATCTTCACCGTCCACGTGGTCGCGTACCCGATCAACGGCTGAAAATCTGGTTCGGTTCCGGTCTCTCTTCCAAACCAATGATCTAAGACTGCGACGTAACTCGGAAAGTGAAGGAGCATTTGGTGGAATCGGCGACGAAGGAAGAAGAAGAACAAGCTCAGAGACTGATCCAACCATTTCATCAGTTGCACTCACATTCCTAACCTCCGAAGCTGATAAATCTATATTTATTTCAGGTAACTGATCTTGATCGGAATACCTAACAATCGGTTTAAGGAGTTTGGATCGAACAACAATTATGCATAGCATTATTTGCTCCTGTAATTTGTTTCGATTATTGCTATCATCTGTAAATTAGGGAAAACTACTGGTGTTATATTCGTACACCAATTTGTTGCAAATTTTGATATCAGAGTGATTTGTAACTGCAGAGTGTTTACAAATTACAATGCTAATTCATATAGGCGGGTATTCATTACATTTTTGTTTATTTATTTATTATTTTTGGTAACATGCTTCTCATTTTAATTTTAAGAAGCTTCGCATCTGCGTCAAGATTTGCAGAGTCCATTTTAAAGTACAGGATTTGTGTTGAGTTGTAGCTATGCAGTAAGAGTAATTTCTTCTTGTTCTCTTGAACGCCTTAGTGTCACAATTTAGCGATGAGGATCGCGTTATGTTCTAGAGCAAATGGGTGATTTTGGTTTAATAGATAGTTTTTTTACTTGGAAGACATTTTAATTTATATTAATTTTTTGCATCTGAAAAGATACATTTTTGTTGCTGTGCTTGCTAGGGAAGCTGACCTGCCATCAGTTTACATGGGAGACAGGGTGGATAATTCTAACTGCAGTATGAGCTCTAATTCTAAACAAAGCAGTGCAATCACTGGGAAAAAAACGTACAAGAAACTGCTGGTTGCATCACGCCCTAAAGGATTTGCACAGAGAAATTATGAACACCTTGTTTCATTGACCCACGGTGACTTTGGAAGCAGTGCTGTGGGTCGTGTCACATTTTTTTTACTTAAAGTTGCTGCATTAGAGACCGTGAGGAGGTTCTCCAAGAGTAGATTCCCATGTATATGGCGAGGCCTGCAGGGTCTACAAATCCTTGTCTATCCACCATTTAAATGGATTCAGAGGTGGGCACCCTTCAGGGGTTTGGTCAAAAGCATGCAGGTTTGTGATTATAAATTTTCTGAAGTTTTCATAAAAAATATAATTGAATGACATTTTGAAGTAGCAAACTATGATGCCTGACACTTGAAAACACCTCACATGTCACATGTCGTGTCCGACACTTCTCGACACTCCGACACTTCCCGACACTCCAACAAGTGTTGCAGGGACTCAAAAGAGGGTTTAAAAGTTGCGTTGCGTTGCTTTTTTAATTCCAACTATTAGATTCGTTGGATTACGATTACTATTTTATTGAGTTTAATATAAATATTTGAGATATCTTATGTTTCTTTGCAAGATTTATAGATATTATAAGTTTAGCTTTATTTTTTTATTAAATTATTGGATATTAAATACAATATACACTACATAAATTAAAAATATTTTTTATTATCATAACGTGTCCTAACGTGTTGAAATTTAACTTTTTTTTTAGAATTAACGAGTCAGAGTGTCGTGTCGTGTCGTATCCCATGTCAGTGTTGGTGTAACATAGGTAGCAAAGTATGATATCTTGGGAAAATCATTTTCTATAAAAATGAATTAAGAAGGAGCATCATTTTGAAGATTAGGAATTGGTTCATGTCGTCTATATTTGTGTGCTTATGGGAGGTCTTTGTCTGGGAATGCTTTTTGTGGGTGGCTTCTAGATATATCTATAAAGAACCACTTCAACCCAAAACTTTAAGGTGTTGGGTGAAGGTCTTTTTTTTAAATGGTTTATATTATTCTCTTCACCCCACACTCACTAGTCGGGTTTAACGGGGAGTGGTTTTTTTTTTTTTATATTATTCTTTAACACACACCCTCACGTAAGAGTCCTTTGGGCTTGAAACATGGATATTGCATAAGCCCAATTTTTCTTTTTTTTCTTTTACCTTATGCTTATTAACTTAATTTCTCAAGTGGAGGGCGGTGAGGATCGAACCCGTGACCTTATGATCACTTAAGGTCTTTTTTTTAATGGTTTATATTATTCTTTAAATATATTGTTTGGTGAATTTGTCAGAAATTAATTCTTCTTCTTCCTCATTTTTGCTTTACATGGAAAAAGATTGCTATTGCCTTTGTATGGACGCTTTTACAAGCTATTCATCCTTATAGTATTATTTCATCATTGGCAATCGTAAGATACACAATGTGATATTTTTCCAGCCCCCTTTTACTATTAGGTTAAGGAGGACCAAATTGGTTAAGGATATCTCTCTTTTCTGTCTAGTTGTTATCTGTTTTTATCCCTTCTTCTAATATCCCAACTTTAGCTATGTTCGTGAAGCCCATAGCTAATAAATCTTTCTGCTACCAGGTACTGTCAAGACCATTACTAGTCCTTTCAATTGCTACAGTCTTTAATGATCAACAACAATTTAATGATGGAACCTCAGTAAATGATGGAACCTCAAATCGTGTTACTGATTCACGTGATTCAGAAGTATCTGCGGAACTGTCTCCTGTGCAGTCTAATTTGAATACAAGGTATATGATTTGAAGCTTCATGCTAAGGTTTGTTTGTGATATTTAACCCTATTGTGGTTTGATTATAAATACATGCCTTTATGAGCTAAGAATGGCAACATCATAAATCCATATTTTTCTAGTCTAAAAATGTAATGAGTAGAGTAACATTTGCTTATTGAGTTAGTATGAGAGAGATATAATATAAAACCATTGAAGGCCCATCAGTCAAGCTATGTTGGGTTGAATTGGTTCCTTTATCATAGTAGTGACCACGGGATCACAACTTCGATTCTCATCTCCCCCATTCTATTAAAAAAAATATAATTAAATATTGTGGAGTTTCTTAACATAGTTACAGGCCTGATGCATTGTCCACCTTTCAAATCCAATGGGCTTTTATGTGAGAGGGTATGTTAGACAGATGTAACATAAAACCATTAAAGGCTCGTCACTTAACAGTTTGAGTTTTCGGTTGAATTGATTGCTTATTATGGTATTAAAGCCTCCGTGACCACGGGGCCACTAGTTTGATCCTCACCGCCTTTCACTTTCTAGTAGAATTATAGTTAGCACAAGATAGAACCAAAAAAAGAGCTTGTGCAATATCTATGTTTCTAGCCCAAATGGCTCTTACGTGAGGGGATGTGTTATAGAGATATTATATAAAACGATTCTTAGACCTTCACTTAATAGCTTCAGCTGTTAGGTGATATGGTTATTTATCAGTTAGTATCAAACTTCTGGCCCATAATTGCTAGATGGTTTTTTTCTAATATATGATTCTCTGACATTAATCTGTTTGGAGATTTATTAAGTTGCAGGTTTACATTTAGCTTCACAAATGATTGATATGCAACAACTAAACCAAACTTTTAGCCATCCCATGTAAACTAGATTTGTTTCGCCACTCAGTTTTTGTTTTTGGAATTTTTTCTTAAATGATAATAGGATTAATGGAAAATTATTATCTTTATGTCTGCCAGGTTTCATTCAGGTTCCTAAGTTTCTAATAATTTTATTCAAGTCACTGTTTTCAAATTTATTTGTACAAACATTTTTGGCATCATTCTGCAGTTCTGAGTACGATTGTTTTAGGTGAGAATTGTTAGTCTTGTAGTCTATGAATTCAATAATCCATCCATAAAATATTGTACAAAATGGAAGGTAAGTAATGATTGAACATCACTGAACCAGTTTCTACATCTTTTTTCCTGATAATAGATAAGAGGCTCAGTGCCTAATTTCAAACTTGATGCAGTTTGCAAGATTAAGAGTTTAATTCTGTGTTGCTGTTTTATATGTCATTAGCAAAATCAAAATGCCAAATTCTATCAAAATTTCTCTTACCCAGACACACAGGAACTGAAAATTCTATCAAAATGCCACTTTGGAAATTCTGGTTAGAGAAAATTACACGCCCGCGTGCACAAGACACACAGGAACTGAAAAACTTTCGATAATAAGAAGTTTGCCATTTGAATATGATGTTTGGGGTCTGCCTTTTTTGGGACGTTTCCTAAACTTGTTAGTTGTTACATGAAAATTTTGTCTGTCTGTATGCATATTCCTCTTGTTTAAACATGAATGATTGTTGAAGTTCGTTATACTGTGAATTCAGTAAAAGTATCAATCTTGAACACAAAAAAAAACACGTTCCTTTTTATGTTCAAAACTGTTGTTAGCATAGGCCTCTGGTCTCAAAAAGTAATGTAGGATATTGATGTTTATTGATCCAAAATGGTGAAGAACTGACCCCAAATCAACCTTAGTCTTTTAGTGTTTATAAATGTTACACATATGAATCTCAAAAGTAGTGACTTCATTCTTTGACTAAAGCTTGTGGTGAATAAAGTGCTGCCAGGTTCATCTTCCGGAGAAATTTGAGATTTTTGGACTTTTCATGTATTGATTTCTCTTTTCAAGCTTCTTTAATTCTTACAAATATATTTTTCTTGCCTTTTGCAGTCATTGCGAGAGCGCTCCTAAAGTTTTAGAATATGAAAATTGTTTGGTTCAACTCAATCAAGAGCTGGAAAATCAAGGGATTAGTTTGCCAGAAAGGTATTTGTGGTTCTATTATCTGCAAAATTGCGCCATTCCAAAAAATACCATGACATGATACTCTCAGAATTCCATTTCAAACTAGGCTAGTAAATGTTCATACAATTACTGTTATTTTGTAATTTATGTTGATAGTGTGGATCTGTCCCTTTCTCCTGTTTTTGGAAAAAAGAGAAGTTCAAAAATGTAATAATTTATCTGCAATTGCATCTGGTCTCTTTTCACATAGTTGAATATGCTAAATATTTTTTGTTAACTCTGGATATTCATCACCAACTTCTGAATTTTGTACATATGCAACAGTGCAGTTGTAGATAATCCAGCTATTAATAATGGTTGCTAAATTGATGCTATTTGTCTATTGTATTCTATTTTGATTTTGTATTGTTTTGTTTCTTGAGGCAAGTTTTGAAATCCTGGCCAGAGTTGCCTTAATAGATAGCAATAGCATATTTACTTGCATATTTCTTGGTTTGTTCTGTTGCGGCGGACCATGATTTATTAGTGTTTATGCAGAATCGATGAGGATGAGCTCTACAGATTTTATTCAGCTTCTAATAATGACTTTTCATGCTTCCTTACCTCAATCAAGAAAACAATATGCTGGCGGGAGAGTTACAGAATTCTTTCGGGAGAAGAGCTGGAAAAATGGTCAAATGTGGTGTTCTGGCATGGGTCTGATTTTTTACACAGACCTTGCCTCATTGTAAGGCTTGGGTTAGCTTGCAGCTCATTGGCATCTAAAGATAGACCTCAATTTGCTCAGGCAATAAGTATGTATATCTTTTTCTTCCCATTAATTCTCATATTTGCTTTATTTTGAGACAGGAATCCTCCCCACCAACACACAAAAAAAAAAAAAAACCTCTCCTCGCTTTTGTCTACCGAACATAATAAACAAGTTCAGTTGTAATGCTTAGTACTTTTCATGCTTTAGTTTAATGGTAACCAATGGTCTTTACTTCAGTATCACAGGTAGAATATGGAGTCTTGCACTTGGTTGATGCAGACAACTCTCAAATTACAGTATTGGTGGACTGTGCAGGGTTATCTCCATTGAGAGTTCCCATGAAAACGATGAGATCTTGTTCCTCCCTTCTGCAAGATCACTTTCCTAATCGTCTTGGTTGTTTGTTTGTCATAAGACTTCCAGCAGTTGTTCGTGTTATTGCCCAGACTTTTATTCAGGTAAATTCTTCTTTTCGTTTATTTAGCCAAAAATGACAAAGAAAGTAACAAGAGTTAAAGTAGTCATGAAGTTGGTGATCATGAAGTGTATGGCAATTCAAAGAATTGTTTTGACTAAATGCAATTTTACTTACCCTTGGAGCGCATCAAATCCAGATAACAACCTATGCAATTTCTTACTTGTTACAAAACTATCACTGTAAAATTTGCGCTTTGCTTAAATTAACTAATTGATGCGTTTGAGTCATAGGTTTTAAAGCCAGGTACTAGGAAAAAGTTGAAAATAGAAGGGGAGATGTATCAGAAGGTTCTTTATGAAAATCTGCCGATACTACCATCGTATCTTGGAGGCTGCTGCACTTGCATGAAATGTTCTAAAATTGGCAAGTTGGACATATCTCATGCGACTGGGACCAGCAGGATTGATAGGGAGGAGGACATCAGTGAGAACGATGATTCACCATCTCTGCATCCATCTACTAATGAATTAGATGGACGCCAAAACAGCAATTATGACCAATTGTTGAGAACTGCTGTCATAAGTATAATCGTATTTTGGGTTTTCGTAGCTCTTGGTGCTGGAATATACGATCCTGGTAGTAGTCATTTGTCCTCATAATGTAAGATTGGTCAAATTAGTTTTATTTCCTTCCCTAGTTGAATAAATCTTTTGGGAACGCTTCTAGTATGAAATTGTGTTTCTGAATTAGGAGGTGGCGTTATCTAAACAGTAAAGGTATACTCTTTCAGATTCTTTAGATAAAAGATCTCAAGTTTTGGCTTGCACAGATGTACTACAAGAGCTTTTTGGGGTATTATAATTTTATTGTCACAAATGGAATCATATCAAAGATTCCATGTTAAGGTAGAAAATTACTTCTTTGATTATAATATTGTTTGATCCTCTAAATTGAAATTAGCAATAGGAAAGGGATTTGGAATAACTTGATTGAGGTCGTTATACGTTAGACCATATCCAGCATAGGTAGCCATGCGCAACTCTTCGATTTTCTAGGACTTGTACAATGAACCCCCAATTATATAGCGGTAGTAGTATTGACTATGGATGAGAAGTACTTTTAATTGTACTAGGCAATAAACTTCTCAGATTCTTCCCTCATTAACAGCTATTGAGGCCGTGTTCTCAATAATTTCCTCACTAGCTGTAAGTTTTGTCCGTGGGAGCTTAAATGATTTAGCTGAATGATTTAACTGTGCCTAGCATTCTTTAAAGGGTGTTCTGAGTTAGCTGTAGAAAAAATGATATCGATGATATTGATAATTCCCGAATAGGAAAATGGAAACCTCTTAAAAGCAATTTTACACTGGTGGGTAATTGACCCAATTACAGAAGAAAAAAGCTACCTTAAGCGGATGATACACAAAAATATAGTTACATCTAAAATAAGAAGATATGGCATTACCGTCGAAGTTCTCGTTAATAAGTGGAATTTATTCAAGGTTTTAATGTTTTTACACTTAGATAAGTTATCTACATTCGTTCTCAAAACGACGTTATTTTGAGTTGAAAAATTAAAAATTTTAATAAAAAAGACTATTATAATTCCGAAATAAATTATAATTACAAAAGTACCTTAATTTTTGTCCTAAAATGATGTCGTTTCGGGTTCAATATAAATAAATTATCTGTATTGATGATAAAAAGCGAACTCTTTATTTAACGCCCAAAATGAAACCAAAGTTCTCGCATTCTGTTGCACGGTACGTTAATTGGTAACTTTCCCACAACTTGGTTCTTTCATCTCGCTTCGTTTCTCTTCTCCCTAATTTTAGTTCTATTGGCTGCTGCTAATCGTCTTTGAACATTTAGAAGTCAAAATACTACCAGTGGCGAAGCTAGATTAAAAAATACTATTATTTGAGGGGGGCTAAGTTCAGGTAACTAAAATCCAAAAGAATATTCAAAAGAAACATATAGAGTTCTAGATTTTGAAATACAAAATTAAGAAGCGCACTACATCACACGCCGCCCTTTAAAAAGAAAAGGGAAATAAAACAGGGAATGAAGAGCAAGCAGTGAAGAGAACTAGTTTTTTATGAAGTAAAGACAAGGTTACACCACTTTCTTACATAGGATTCCACCATCATAACACAAATGGTCATAGAAATGCTGCTTCCTACTTTCCAAGAAAACCTTTCTAAACATGTGAAATTTTAAGGCGTTCATAGAGAAAAAAAGTATGAGACATTTATTATGTACTATCTCGATTATATATTAAAAATATGGGTTGGAGAGTCTATTGATAATTTAGGTCCTATAGATACTCCCACAACATCTCTTATTCATAGATCCGTGCTTAAGAATTTTCCAACTTATATGAAAAGAATATCTTCTCCTATACACATACACAACAAATATGTGAGTCTCATTAACCCTAAAAATATATATTAAATTAGAGATGATAACATCTTATATGATGAATGATGATACATGTTAAATGATTTTATTACTTTTTTATTTTATTTCCAAAGTAGCACCTATGAGTTTCTTCTAAACCGAAATGAATTTTTGTCGACGTCAGCCACTTTTGGTGCGACGGTCGAATTGCGACTTCCTTGGTTTAATTTTTTATTTTTTATTTTTTTTATCCCGTTTTTATTTTCTTTCTCTATTTTTAATTGGTTTTTCCCATTAAGTAAATGGTACCGCGTTGTACCTTAAAAAAAGAGATATGATACCGCCGTTGTACCTTAAAAAAAGAGATGGTGCCGGGCTGTGTGGAGGAGTAGGTGGGTGCTATTGTTCCTCCCTCCAAAAAATAAACAAAATAAAAGTGAAGCTCCAGAGTAACGAGCTTAGTTCTGCACCAATTCCGTCAGCACAAAAAGCTATAAATTAAAAAGGGTTATATAGTATTTATAAAAATAAATAAGGAATAATTAAAAAAATTTACAATAATTTACTTTTTATACCTTTCATTCTAAAAAAAATAGTAAATGTAAAAATACTTACTTAAAATAAAAATTCACTCTCCTTTGCGTTTTTCCCCAACAAAGCTCTCCGTACCAGACACATAGTTAGTGTAAGATGAGCAAACACACACCTTACATATTAGCCTTTATCATATCATGATATTTGATTATCCGAGATCATAGCAATATATGACTACTTGTATTTGATAAGTGCACTAATGTTGCCCCACTTGACTTGACCCTTCCTCCTTCTCAAGGGAAACAATTCTGAAACTGAAACTGAAAAATTAGGTTGAGTGGAGATCTAGGACAATCCCACTTTTAATCCCATTATGCATTAAATGTTCTGATTGCTCTTTTTTCTTTTTTAAGTTAAGAAAAAAGACAGGTTAGCATATTTTAAAGTTAGGATATACTATAAATTAAGGCACAAGTTTATTGTGGTATTTTAAAGTTACCTATTAAAGAAAAATTACTTTATACAAAATTTGAATCTAAATCTTATGAGTGTTTCTTGCTTATAAATAAACAAATCTGTTTGTCTAATTTGATTGCTTAGTTTTTTTTAAATCTATTGTTTTAAAACTTTAAAAAAAAATTCAGATACTCTACGAATAAAACTTTTCCCTCGTTTTATGTCTATCAATAAATATATATTATTTATAATAACTTGAAAAATATAGTTAAAATATAATTTAAATAATGTACATTCAATAATATAAAACAAAAGAATTTCTTTTATTCTAAAAACATCTATAATTTCTTATTTTAACAGGGTTGAACCAAATGGCACCAATCAATAACGCCCACAAGCACACACTTTAAGATTTATATGATGTTTCTTGTACTATTGTGAAACATGACTGAATTAGGTAAAGCTTGACGACGGTCATCAACTAACATTTTACATGGAATCCTAATATGTGACCAAATAAAGCGTGGACTCCACTTACTTCTGTTTGAAAAATTATAAATAAATTACAATTTGGGTATTACTTAATTACGGTTAGATCAGCCAAAACAAAATTCTCGTCTCAGTGGTATATATGAGTTTTATCAACTGAGGGTGCTTATCACTAAAAATATATATGATTCTAATTTTTGTATCAACAAGTAAGAAGAACTGCCACAATAAAATGTGTAATATATAATGTGTAATGTGGGAAATTAAAAAATAAGTGATAGCTAACCATTAATCCTCATGATTGGTTGAAGTGGTAATATGAGCTCCAAAAAATAAACGAAGTGTAAAAAGAGTCGGGGTTCCACTGAACAGAGATGAATTATTGTCACGTCACTCGTTATGTTATTAATCTTATACATATGTGGACCCCTTTTGTTGAATACAATAGGGCGCTCCCCATACCATGTAGATCTGATATTGTTGTGTGCCTTAAAGTAGGGTTATAAATCAGTTAAGCGATTTCTCAGGAGCTCAAGACTTTACTTGTTTTAAGTTTAGTTTGGCCTAGCTTGCTTAATAAATAGAACAAACTCAAGTTTTTTAAAAAAAATGTTTAGCAAATAAGTCCAAGCTTAATTTAATGAGGTTTGGCTTGAAAGCCCCGGAAGAGGGGAAACTTTGGGTCCTATACAAGTTCCATGTGAGTGGGTATGTGTGCTTCTCAATTCATGAGTTGGATCAAAGTTTAAGAAGAAATTGCAGAACTCATTATTCGATCATCTCAGCTTTAATGTATCTTGAATTGGTTCCAAACTAGCCCATGAATCGAATCTCTAATGGGATAATTGAATGTATTGAAAATGGTTTTTTTTTTTGTTCCGGCTAGATAGCATGTGAAAGATGTAATTATATGTGAATTGAGTGAGTTCTACGATTATTTTTTCTCTTATAAGGGATCGAATACAAAATTTGATGCATTAATAATCTCAACATTTGGACAAATGTGAATTTGGAAAAAATAAATATTACAATTATAAATTAGTCAAACCTTTAATTTTTCAAAAACAAGTCAAATCAAACCTAGAATTTAGCTCCTACCAGGCTAATAGGTCAAGCCAAACTCAAAATATATTTCATAAACTTTGCTCGTTTGAGCTAAAAATTGACTCGACTCAGCTCATTTACACCCCTAGTCTCAAGCTTATTTTATTTCCTTTTTTTAGTAGGTTGAATTTTAACTCATGAATAAGTATTGTTGTTTAGAGTTTTCTAAGCCTATTTATATTCTCTTTATAAATGAATAAGTGAATATTAATAGACGTAACTCGTGAATCAGGGTGAATTATGTGTCTCCATTTTCTTTCCTTTATCTTTTTTACTTTGCGATGTTTAGTGTGTATTTATGGTTGGTCCCAACACCAATCCCCGCCTTCATCATGGACTAAGTCATAACTTCGATAGTGGTCCGTATTGTACCAAAAAGGAGAAAGAATGCCACAGTAGTTATTCAAATGGTTCATAGATAATAATAATGACTCTTATTGATATAATTCACTAACCGCACAATGGTCCCACACATCCAAACAAGCAAAGTTCCACTTTGTTATATGTGCTTGCTCATTCATTCTCTCATTATAAAACCCAAGGATGGCTTCAAATCTTCAGCACTCTAAGCCAAAAACCAAATTGAGCAAATTACCACAATCACTTAATTTGCTTCAAAGATGCCATTGTGGAAAGCATGTCTAGCCTCTGCATTCCGAACAGCACTAGGGTGCACCATAGTGGGTTGTGTCACCCTTTATGGTCCTTCCTCCTTTCAAGACCTTATAGCTTTCCCTGCATTCTCATATGTGACTGTGATTCTCATTATCAACGATGCCACTTTGGGAGACACGTTACGTGGTTGTTGGCTCGTACTTTATGCTACAATACAGAGCATAGTCCCTGCCATATTGATCTTGTGGTTCATCGGACCTAGTCAGTTCTCGAAGGGCACGACGGCTTTGGCGGTGGCGATTGCTGCATTTATGGTGGTGCTGCCAGCAGAGACAACACATTTGATAGCTAAACGAATAGCATTGGGTCAGACAGTGATACTTTATGTCATCGCTTACATCAATGGCGTTCACACTGAACCTCTCATGCACCCTCTCCGCGTAGCAGCTAGCACCTCCCTTGGAGCTTTTGCTTGCGTTTTAGCATTGCTATTCCCCTTCCCACGTCTTGCATGTCACCAGGTAATATTTGCAAGTAAATATTAATTGGAATCTATTATGCTTCTTTTGTCTCTTCTCTTACCATCTCTCATAATTATTTTTAATCAAGATAAACATTAATTAAATGCTATTAATTTAATTTTGATTTGCTATTTCCCTACCCAAGTCTTGCATGTCAGTTTCACCAGGTAATATTTGCACGTAATATTAATTGGAATCTATTATGCCTTTCTTGTCTCTTCTCTTACCATCTCTCGTAATTATTTTTAATCAAAATAAACATTGAATAAATGCTATTAATTTAATTTTGATTTGCTATTTCTCTACCCACGTCTTGCATGTCACCGGGTAATATTTGCATGTAATATTAATTAGAATCTATTATGCCTCTCTTGTCTATTATCTTAGGAATGGGATCATTTGCCACCGGTATCAAACTTTGAAATTTGACACCAAATTTTAACCGTTGATTTTTCGCCAATCAACGGTTATCATTTATTGGGAATTAATAATTAATTAATAAGTTTAATTCCCAATAAATGATAACTGTTGATTGAAGGAAATCAACGGTTAAGATTTGGTGTCAAATTTCAAAAATTGACACCGTGTCAAAAGATCCTACTCATTCTCTTACCATCTCTCATATTTTTTTTAATCAAAATAACATTAAATAAATGCTATTAATTTAATTTTGATCCAACCATAATAAAATAAATATAAGAGATTATATATGTGTGTTTATGGATGACATTGACATACACCTATGTAAGAATAATAAGTTTTATACCAAATTTTATTCGTTTATTACCATGCATCTTAACCGTTAATTTTCGTGCATCTAACTGTTGATTTTCGTCCACTCTTTAATTAATTATGAGAAAAAAAGTATCTAATGTTACTTTAGACACTTGGTCTAATGTTTACCGAAACGATGACGTTGTGGGGTTGAAAAATTAAAAAATTAGAATGATAAAGACTATTATAACACTGAAGTAAATTAAAATTACAAATAGCACCATGGTTTTCGCCTCAAAACGACGTCATTTCAGTGAATATAGATAAAGTTATCCAAAATAACTTTAGAAAAAATGAACCCATTAATTATTAATTCCTAGTAAATCTTAACCATTAAATGCACGGAAATTAACGGCTAAAATTTAATGTAAGACATTATTTTTACACCAATATAAAATGATCTTACCCCATATGTATATATATATATGTGTGTATACATATATATATAGAGGCAGGATCCTTTGACACCGGTGTCAAAGAAAAAGTTTGACACCTCATCTGGGAACCGTTAGATTAAAAAAAATCAACGCTTCTGATTTGTAAACATGTGACACCATTGATTTTTTTTAATCTAATGATTCTCAGATGAGGTGTCAAACTTTTTCTTTGACACCGGTGTCAAAGGATCCTGCCTCATATATATATATATATATATATATATATATATATATATATATATATATATATAGACACACACACACACACATATATATATATATATATATATATATGAGGGAGGATATTTTGACTACCAAAAGTTTCCACTACCACCTTACTACCTATCTATTCACCATTGGATTAACATTTTCTCTCTCTTCAAATTTTTTTTAACATTCTCTCTCTTTGATCCAATGGTGATTTGATAGGTAGTAAGGTGGTAGTGGACACTTTTGGTAGTCAAAATATCTCCCCTATATATATATATATATATATATATATATATATATATATATATATATATATATATATATATATATATATATATATATATATATATAAAACCTTTCCCGAATTATTTTCTCATTATTCACCAAAATAAAAATATTATTACCGACAAATATTGATTCAAGAAAATTTGTTCCTTTAATCAGATCTGCTGTGAATAGAAAAAATGAAATATATATTTGGTATTATTAGAAAAAAACCCACTTTATTACTAATTATTGACAAAGAAAAAAGTTTGTAGATACGAGTCATATGACAATTTCATTTTTATTTTCAGATTAACATTAATTATTAGTAGCTCGGTGTTTTTATAGTATTAATATAATTCAAGTGATGAAATATATATTTTTAAAACACATTCGGATAGGGCATAACACTTTAAATTACTATATTAAAATTAATTTGGACAAAAAATAAAAAATGAAATATAATTATTAGTATTTTGATAGAGAAAACTAGCTATTTACACTCAATAGCGTTATATAGAAGCATGGCCTGCCCACTATTTTGTAGCATAATTATGGTGGTATTGTCTGGGCTAACCACTAAGGATGCAAGAATAACAATTAGTTCAATGTTATGATCAGTACTACAAAAGTGGTTAATTGTCAAAACTAACTGATTTGATGTTTGAATTTTATTTCCTATTTGGTGCAGGTGAGAAATAATTACAAGCTACTAACACGTAATACCTTAAAAAGGCTGAAGCTTTTTGTGAAGGCAATATGTGAACAGGACAAGACTTTAGCACTCACATCAATCTCTCATGCCAAGTCTTTGGCAACTACACGAACTAAGTTAATCCAAATCATCACAAAATACCAAGTAAGCCCCACAAACTCAGTTGATGGAAATTCATACTGAAAAATGTTTTTCTTATATTAATTGAAGATGAATTATCTTATGTTAGTGAAACAAAATTATAAAAGGAACTTAGAAATAATTGAAGAGAGAAAAAGAGAGAGGTGGAATTCATCTTTATTATATGTGTATAGGAATTTGATTTATCTCATGTTGAATGAGATAAATATAACACTTAAATATTTACATTGCTACTACAATGGGCAAAGTGCTTTAACATTATTTTCTTCATTTTCTTTCCCTTGAACAGAATAGCGTGAGGTGGGAGATACCTCCAATTAAATTTTTGAGATCATATTGCTTGTGCCCTGAAGAGAAACTTCAAGAGATAGATACCACCTTGAGAGGAATGGAATTGGCTCTAAGGAACATCAATTCATTTCCAGTCACCATACTCAACGAAGATATGAAACAAGGTCTTAATATGCTAGAGCAGCATGTTAGCCTAACCATAAAAGAAATTAAACACAATTTTCATGGTGGTTCAATAACTGTTCCTGAACCCAATCCAAGAAACATAACCAAGTTTCTCCAATCCCTTCAAACCATTCCAACAACCCACCAAGATTTACCCGTTTATTTCTACTTATTCTGCACCAAACTCCTCCACAAGAAATCATTGGGCGAAGCCCAAATTAACATTCAAGACCAGCAGCCTCAGCCCACTCACAAAAAAGGAAATTCTCAAGAGGGTAAAGAAAAATGGGCCAACTGGGTGACGACATTAAGAAGCCCAAAACTTATTTCATCAATCAAATGCTCACTCTCACTGGGCCTTGCAGTGTTCTTGGGCTTACTATACAACAAAGAGAGTGGGTTCTGGTCAGCACTCCCTGTGGCTATAACCTTTGCATCAGGCAGGGAAGCCACATTTAGAGTTGCAAATGTGAAAGCTCAAGGGACTGTGTTAGGAACTGTGTATGGAGTATTGGGCTGTTTTGTCTTTGAGAGATTCTTGCCAATAAGATTCTTGTCTCTTCTTCCATGGTTCATTTTCACCAGTTTCCTTAAGCAAAGCAAAATGTATGGCCCAGCTGGTGGTATTTCTGCAACGATTGGGGCCATTCTAATATTGGGTAGGAAAAATTTTGGCCCACCAAGTGAGTTTGCTACTGTGAGAATCATTGAAACATACATTGGGCTAACTTGTTCGATTTTGGTGGATCTTCTCTTCATGCCCAAAAGAGCTTCTACGTGTGCAAAAGTTGAGCTCTCTAATAGTTTTGCCACACTTTATGAATCCATTTGCTCGTTGAGCCTACTTAATGTTGGGACCAAAACAGACTTGGAAGAAAACCATAGGAAGCTGAAGATGCAAATTAACGAGCTTAGGAAATTTGTTGTTGAAGCAGAATTGGAGCCCAATTTTTGGTTCTTACCTTTTCATGGTGCTTGTTATAATAAGCTTATTGGGTCATTATCCACATTGGCTGATACATTGCACCTTGGAGATCATGCCTTGAAGTTCCTCCAACAAGAATTCCAAAGAAGTGAGGCCTCTTGGAAAGAGTATGTGAGTGTGCTAGAAGGTGAAGTTGCACAATTGAAGGAACTTATTTGCTCTTCTATAAAAAGATTTGAGGAGATTTCTAGAATGAAATCACTCAGGTTTCTTGAGGAGGAGCTTGAGAAGAAGAACATCACTTGTGATATTGAATTGGGAAGGTCACCAAAGTCTAGTGGTATCTGCATGGTTTCTGGTCTAGGCGAAGATGACATTGAAAAAACCATTGGATGTTATCTCCAACAATCAAGAAATGCTGTTGATAACTTATATGGTGTTGAAGGTGAGCAGGAGGTGAAGAACCAAGTTGTTCTGTGTTTGAGTGCTCTGGGGTTTTGCTTGAGTGCACTTGTGCGAGAGACAGTAGAAATTGAAGAAGCAATCAAGGAACTTGTTCAATATGAGAATCCATCTAGCGAAATTAATTTGTACGATATATCATGTAAACTACATGCTTTACACAAATGAAAATTTGAATCTACACTCATTTTTAAGTCCAAAAATGGACGAGATGCTATTCATTGCAATTTTCTGAAGAAAATGAACGAAGATTACTATTTGCGCATCTGAAATGCTAGGTTGAGGAGTGTAAAATTGAATTTTAAACATAAATAACGGAGTGGTTATATTTATTACCATTTTAGACTTACTATTCTTACTATCTCATTAATTATCGATGGATCAATTTGAAATCAACAATTAAAAAATGAGAAAAATTAAGTGTCGTTGATTTCAAATTGATACAACGGTAACCAATCAAGTAGTAAAAGTTATAAGCCTAAAATGGTAATAAATATATCCTCCCGTGTAAATAATATGCTTTTGCAAATTATTATCCAAAAATACTTTGTAAATATCCAAATATCAAGGATATTAATAAATAAAGAAGAACAATAATATATGAAATTAGGGAAGGTTATACTTATTATTATTTTAGTTTTACTACTACTTGATTGGTTATCGTTTAATCAATTTAAAATTAACGACACATTGATTTTAAATTGATCTAATAATAACTAATTAAGTAATAAAAATAATAAATCTAAAATAATAATAAATATAATCGCTCTTATGAGAATTATGAAACTTGAAAATCCTTGTTTGAACATTTTGATGAGTCTTACTCTCACGTTAAAAGACAGAAGTTAATTATAGTAAAACAAGCTATAATTTCATTATACTTACTTTGATACATTTCAACCATAGAGGTCACAAAATCCAAATCTTCCAATTAATGACCACGTGAAGCTTGGGCTCTCACTCTCAGATTGCCCGTGCACTCTACGCAAGTTGCATGTGCAAATAAGGATAAAAAAAATAATATTTACACCAAACCATATATCAATAGGGAAAACACTTAGACGTGGCAGTTCAAAAAAACAGTGACATAATACTTGTGCAGTGTACATACAGACAGCTCATTGAGGTTCAGTTCATGAGATTATTTTTTTAAGCGGTACCATCATTCTTTAAGTGGTCCCTAAGTATAAATAAAAGAGTAAAATTAGAAGAAAAAAAAAATAACACGAATAAAAAAGAAAAGAAAAAATTAATGACATGAGAGGAGTACTAAAAGATTTCGTGGTGGCCTTGGAGCATGTTAAATATTTCCTCGGTTAAACCTCCAAAGGTAGCTCAGTTGGCAGCTGAGCTCCCAAGGGATTGCTTGGTGCAGGGATCAAATCATGCCTCAAGCAGTTTCTTAAAAAATCTTTGGAGGCCAGAGGATGAGTCAAAAATCTTCGGTTGGGGAATTAGTCTCGTCCTTTCTCCGATTGCGAAACTTAGTGCACCCATATTACAATGAGGGGCTGCCCAAACGGGTTGTACCCCGAGGGCATGGTGAATGGGGATGCCTCCCGACAATGTACCAAAAAAAAAAAAAAATATTTCCTCGGTTCAGGAGAGTGAGATACTGTTTTGTATGTCTAACAACGTAATCAAGCTCAGCCACTGCACATAACTACATAACCTTGACTTAATGCTTTGTTATCCTTACCTTGTTTAGTGTTATAATCACCTCCTCGTATCTTTCAAAATCACCCAATTCCTAGACCTCAAAATTGATTATCCAGAAAAGCCCTTGTACTAAATCCCTGTATACACATTTTTTCTGTATCCAACAGGTATTTAACTATGCCGTAGCGATAAAAAGATTCAATTTTTGGTTTTTGGGTTTTTTTAAAGTTTGGTATGATGCCTGCTTTTTGGTGTCTGCCGTTGCCTAGGAGCTTTCATGATGTTCTTAAACTTTCCGTGAGTTTGAAGGATCCCAAAATGAATTTTTGTTATTTTATCGTTTTGATTAGTTCTTTTTGGTATGGAATTAACTAAGTAACTTAAAATAATAATAATAATAATAATAATAATAATTTAGCGTTTGGTGGGAGATATTTCAAGTTCTGGATCTTCATTTTTACTATAAATTGTGTTCTGATAATACATGGTTTGGACTATAACTGTGATTTGGGATTCTGGATTCGTCTTTCTTTGCTTTGAGTTCATACCAGGTCCATTGTCAGCTCTCTCACTCTCCCTTTCTCTTATTCTGACCATAACTGTTATTTGGATTTTTATTAGATTTGAATGTGTAAAATTTTGTAGCTCACCTAATTTATGTGTGCAAGGACTCATTATTTGTAAGAAAATTTGACTGTTTGGAAATTGGTTCAGGATTTGAAATTCAGAGGTTTTGACAATGGCAACGAATTCTTCTAATGGAGACCATCAAAAAGCAACAAAGCAACCTCCCTTGCCATCTCCTTTGCGTTTTTCCAAGTTCTTTCAGGTGAACTCTCGCATAGCATTCTTCGTGCCATTTTGTCATTCTGGTTGATGCCTGTTTTGTTGTCTGGATCCTGTTATGCGGAGTTCCTGTTAATTCACTTTTGTTGTTGTCATGTTTTTCGCCTTTGTTACATGTTAACTTCTACTATTGATAATGCTATTTGATCATGACCTGTTAAAATATAAAATCATTTATTTGCAGATAACTTGCTTGTGTTGTGAGATTCCCCCTTTTGCTTTTACGAATGAATCTTTATTTTTCTTCTAATGTGCCTAAAATCTTGGTGATAATATATTTATATATTCAATTGTGGTTTATAAACAGTTTATGAAATCATTGTTTTTTTTTTTTGGGGGGGGGGGGGGTGTAATATCTTATCGTAATTCTGTACTTTAATATCTGCTGGGAACATGAGTACCTAAATTCAGTATCTCTTAATGTCGACTATTGTGCGGGTTGGATCTTTTAGATTTTGACATTTTATTATTTAATCCGATGCTTACTTTTGTCAAAATATATTTTATGATTGCAAACTTAATGCTTATTTTTCAGCATCTGTAGTCTGATGGTCAATTAAAATAATTTGCCTTTTCACTACTACATTTCACTTTACCTATTCTCGTGCACATGGTTGAGATCATTTGGGATATGTGCATACAACATCATCTTACATGTCATGATTGAGAACTCTGATTTCCGAAACATTGATATCACTTTTTACATGAGCATTTCTTTTCTTTCTTTACATGAATTCTGGGTTTACCAATATTGTTTTCATTTCTTACAACAGTCCAATATGAGAATTCTGATTACTGGAGGAGCTGGATTTATTGGCTCTCACCTAGTTGACAGATTGATGGAAAATGAAAAAAATGAGGTTAGCATGCTTGATATCTTTCTCTTCATAGTTTTCAAGTTTATTAGTGATACAACAAATGTGATACAATTTTGGTACAACATGTGACAGTATGTTTGTCTAATCAGGTCATTGTTGTTGATAACTTCTTCACTGGCTCTAAAGACAACCTTAAAAAATGGATTGGTCATCCAAGATTTGAGCTGATTCGTCATGGTATAAATTTATTAATTTCTCCACTGCAATCATCCACAGGCTGACTTTGTTCCATATAAAATGTAATTTGAGGTTAAAATTTATGTCCTTTCTTCTCACCTTGTAATGGGTTTAAATCTGGATTATAAATGGTCTTCAAGACTATGAAGTATGAAGGACCATGCAATGATGCAACAGAAGCTTGTTTATTATTAAATAAGATATTAAACTGACAGATATGTCAAATTTCCTTATTCAGCCACCAACGTAGAGCAGCCAGCCCTATGATATTGTTCACACACAACATGAATGATGATGCTGTCATGTGCACTAAGTTTTTTCTGTATTTCCAGATGTCTTTTAATTTATATTTTTTTTTTCAGTTCAAATGTATTTACTTTTCTTTTCCCCTCTGCAGATGTCACGGAGCAATTGTTGATCGAGGTTGATCAAATCTATCATCTGGCATGCCCAGCTTCTCCGATATTCTATAAATACAATCCTGTAAAGGTGGGGTTTTTAGAGTCTGCTTTTGTATTTGTATCATTTACCATGGTCCTGTAAACTGTTTACATGGTTTATTCCTTGCTCACCACTAAAGAAACAAAAGTAGCTTGAATCTCCAATCCTGCTCAAATTTATGTGTGCAGATTTCACATGAGGATTTCATGTATATTGTTTTGCTGTTTTGAATGGTTTGTATGCCTAGTAGTTTGAATTGTGTTTATGACCTTCATTCATGTCATTACTTATTGGTGGATTGTTATATCTGTCTAGTGAATCTTGAGAAATTATATAACAGTTAAAGGAATAACTTTACAGACAATAAAGACAAATGTAATTGGAACGTTGAACATGCTTGGGCTTGCTAAGCGTGTGGGAGCAAGGTTGGGGCTCTTTTTTTTTTTTTTTTAATTTGATAATTTAAACTGCTACCATCTGTTGGTTTTACCATGATGTAGTTTTAATTGACAGGATTTTGCTTACATCTACTTCAGAAGTATATGGGGACCCTCTTGTGCATCCTCAACCAGAAAGCTATTGGGGCAATGTTAACCCTATCGGTACATACATATCTCAATCCAAACTTGTGTATCAATGGCATCATAATGGGGCTAACTCTAATTTATCTGAGTTTGTTGAATTGTATAGAACTAAAACATGTACCCCAATGTTTAACTACGGTACTTCAAGGTGGTTTGTCATTTTTGAACATGAATTTATTGATGAACATACAGAGCTGAAAGCTGCAAACATATGTTTTCTTTGAATTATATGTTGATAAAAATCCATGGCATTCATATATTTTGAAACCTGTGGGAATGAACATTGAGTTTAATATGTGCCATATCTGTACTTTTATTATGCTCTGGTAAAATTTACTTCCCTCAGAAGGGAGGGAGGAGGGGATAGAAAGAAACATTCTTTTTCCAAGTAAGTTTTGGCCTCTTGATGTGAGGTTGGTACTCCTTAATTACTTATTTAGTGTGTGATATTGTATTAGATTTCATTACTGAAACCAAAATATTATGCTCTGTTAAAATCCATGAGGATATTCCCTGAACATAAAAATATGTGCACACAGGAGTTCGCAGTTGTTATGATGAGGGCAAGCGTGTGGCAGAAACTTTGATGTTTGATTATCATAGGCAGCATGGAATAGGTAATGACTTATCTTTTTTTCCTTGTAATATCTTCTTATTGATTGAGGGCATGGTTAGTACAACTTTGGCCCTGTTGTTAACTCAGTGTGATGTTTATTTTCATTTTTTTCACAGAAATACGCATTGCAAGAATCTTTAACACGTATGGACCACGCATGAATATTGATGACGGGCGTGTTGTCAGCAACTTCATTGCTCAAGCAATTCGGTAAGTCCATAAACTTTATAATGCTATAGGCATGATGGATATGCTGATAATTTAGAGTGGCTTTATATATCCCAACCCTCAAGAAAACATAGGGGCACTCGTGTAAGCAAGTAAATAACAATTTATTCTGACAGCGATAATGAGAAATTTCTCATTATCATTATAACTGTATGAATTGTGTACTTCACGAGCATGCTTTTTATTTCCTACGACACTTATGTCAAATACCTTAATTTAGTTGACTAATCTCAATTTCTTTTTGTATCATTTCAAGCTGGACTCTTTATTTTTTACTTCTCACACAATCGTTTGTGTTATAGTGGTGAACCCTTAACAGTCCAAGTTCCAGGAACTCAAACTCGAAGTTTCTGCTATGTCTCTGACATGGTATATACAATACATGTTTCTCATTTGTGATTTATTGTCTTGATTCACGTACTATAGGTGATCTAACTATGGTCATGCGTTTGAAATCTATAAGGTTGATGGCCTTATCCGTCTAATGGAAGGGGAAAACACTGGTCCAATCAACATTGGGAACCCAGGTTATATTACAACTAAGACCTTTGTGCACTGATTTTTCTGTCAAGTACTAATATGAGTTGATACTTTATTCTTCCAGGTGAATTTACAATGATTGAACTTGCCGAGAATGTTAAAGAGGTTAGTTGTAAGCCATTTTAAGTCTTTGAGAATCCCACATCCCTCTCCTGTGTGAGTCTGGTTATATTTTTGTTTCCATTTTAACCTTAACCTCTGAATAAAAGTTTGTGAGGGATTGTGTATGTGCTATATGCAGTTAAAAAAATAATGGCAACAAAAAAAAAACTCATGAATCCCAACTCACGAGAGTAGGGACGATGAAAATCTTTCTATGCAACCTTACCCTTATATTTTTTCACGAAGGGTTGGAATAGTGATTATAACTCAAAAGTCAAGGGTTCGAATCCAAATAATGACCAAAAAGAAATACATGTTATACCACCAAGCATATGGATCAACTAGTAAGGGGTTGTTTCGACTTAACTAATGGTTTCGAGTTCAAATTTCTAGAAACATAGCTATGTTAAAACTTGGTAGGGAGAGTTTCGTTGTCTGTGTGGTTATACCCTGTTCGAACTAGACTAGGCGAGTAATCAATGAACCTATGCATAATATCAAAAACAATACATGTTATTTTTATAGTGTGGATTAGTATTGGATCCTTAGGTGAAACAATTGAAGTTAGCTAATGCTTTATATATGTTTTTGCAGCTGATTAATCCAGCAGTGGAGATAAAGATGGTTGAGAACACTCCTGATGATCCTCGTCAGAGAAAACCAGACATAACAAAAGCAAAGGAATTGCTAGGTTGGGAACCAAAGGTCAAGTTGCGCGATGGCCTTCCTCTTATGGAAGAGGATTTCCGTCAAAGGCTTGGGGTTGCCAAGAAGAACTAAACTTGTTTCTACTGATTCACTTCGTGTCATAATGGATATTTCGATAGTAACTGGGATGAGTCTCTTAGTGTTAGATATTTCATATTGAAAATTATGGGGAGGGAGTTATAATGGTCTGTTATAAGTTCCATTGAAAAGGCGTTTCTTGTGTATTGAGCTCTTTGCTTCCAGGGTATATTCATCTCGTTTGAGTGGATCTCTTTGTTTGTATGAATAATTTACATGTCAATGAATTCTTATAAATCTATTGCGGCATGGTTTGTTAGTTATAAACTTATAATTGTGTATGATTTAAGGGTTCGCTTTTTCTGTACTTAATGTAGATAAGTTATCTGCAGTAAGTCAATACGACGTCATTTCGGTACGGAAATCATGGTGTTTTTGTAATTTTAATTTATTTCAGGGTTATAATAGTCTTTATATTTATAATTTTTTAAGATTTCAATCCCAAAACGACGTCATTTTGGGAATAAATGCAGATAACTTAACAGCAGAAATATTTTTCCCATAATTTAATGATAAAATGAAAAAGAAACTAAACTTTGTCTCATAAGTCATACCACACTTTATTATGGATTTATGGTAATAGGGAAATGCTGTGGACAGAAATTCTATTTAAGTATAGTATCTTGTATTTTTTAATTTTTTTTATATTCTACACACAATCGGTCAACCATCTTCCTTCATATGGTGGTGGTGGGGGGGGGATAGAAGTCCCTTATTTTTTTTTAAGTTCTTTATCCCTTATTTTAAGTAGAAGATAAGATATTCTTATGCTTTATTTTGAATAGAAGATATTTGTATCCTTCATTTTTTTGGGAAACTTTATCCTTCATTTTAAATTGAAGATATCTCCTTTTTTATAAGTATGTTTTTAATTTGATCCTTCACATATCAATTTTTGCAATGTGGTTTTATACCGATAGAAGTCCACATTAACTTTCCACGCAAATCTTGATGACAAAAGATTTATATTAAGTTAAACTTTAATTAGAGATTATAGTACAATATTATTATTTTTGAAAAAAACAAAAACAGAGAGAGAGCGACAAAATTTGATGTACGAAGAATTCAATTGAGAACTATATTACAAATAAAAAGTAACTTGTAGGATTGGTGGAGATAACTTTATTTCCTATAACATGATAAATGATAAACCTATTATTTATATGTATTTATTATGGGTTTAATATTTTCAATTTAACTATAAAAAATATTTATATGCTAGCTTCACATAAAAGTGAGTAGGTACTATTAATTTTTTTCTCTCTTTCCTCTTTACAGATCCATTCAGTTTCATGTGAATGTAGTAGAAAAATACTTTCTACATATAGAAATATTTTTCCCATTTATTATTTTGTAAATGAAATTTCCTTAATTGTAATTATAACGAGGGAATTTCCATTCTATAACTACAGTTGTAATGTGAATTGAGAAACATTCAGTGCATGTAGACTTCAATTTAAAAACGCTCCCAAGATGTGGGAAATTTCTTCGGTGCATGGATGCACTGAATTTTTAATATATCTTTTATTTATAATGTGATATGTATTTTATTTTTGGGTTTTATAATTCTCAAGTTATATGATGATTGAAATCTTATATTGTAGAGACAAAAAGTATATGAGACCCATATATTAGAAAATATTATTTGTAGAATCCACGTCAGCACGAAAATTGAAGGATGTGTAAGGAGATTTCAATTCTTATGTTGAATGAGAATTATAAAACCCTTTATTTTTATCAAATTATTAATAAATAATTTATTTTAAAATCATATGAGAGAGTGAATTGACAAAAGAAAAAGACATGTATCACATCATGAGTTGATAATAATGCATTTATAGCACCAAGGATATTCTCCAAGATGTGGACTAGTCAAAACGTAATTGAAAATAATAATTATTTTAGGGTTGGATGTTTCACATATTATAGAAGATAAAATTATGTCTCACACACATATTAAAGTATGTGGCAATGTTATTAAACCCGACCTGGTTATTAACTTGGTCAAGGTACGTAATCAGTAGTTCAATTACATGATTCGAAGTACATATAAATCTATCATTTATATTAAAAAAATTATAAATATATTCAAATACATGTAAAAAATAATATTAATTTTAAATATTTTAATATAAAAAATAATAAATTACACATCATTATCCATCAAAAGATCAATTAAACATATAAATGTTTTAGGTTCAATAGACGATATCTCTAACTATAAATCAAATCAAAATTCTCTGCATATTGCTTAACCAAGATAATATCAGTGTTGTATATATATAACTTATATAAATCAATAAGCAACAGATCACTCAAATATTTTAAAAGAAATAAAATCATTTATGTGTGTGAGTCAAAAAAAAAGCATCAATTGACAAGAACAAACTAATTTTTTTTTTTATGAACCGAGTCGGGTCATCGATTTTTATAAAAAATTAGCCGAGTCGCACTAATTTCATTACATATGGATCTAATATGAAAATCAAATCGGTTATATGACCCATTTTTTGATTTTCAGGTCAAACCAACCGGATCCATATGGATTTGATAACATTGGTGTGTAAAACCCACGCGGAACATGTAAAAAAAAAAAAAAAAAAAAATTGAATCTCACGGCATTAAACCCGTTATTTTATGCAAAAGTTTACCCGACGGTGAGGATTCAGCTGAGAGTGAGAGACACGGACAACCTCAGATAGATGAGATGAACATCCCGTCGTTTCATTCTGTTGGATGATGCTCTTGTCTCCCACTCCAATTCAGCAAGACGTGGGCCCAAGCAACTCTTCGCATGACACGTGGCATTCTGACATGGGCAATCTCGTACATTCAGCGCCCGCAAATTCAGTATCGTCTAAAACAAGCTGAGGAATTCTTCTTATTCTCTCCTTTATCTCAATTTGTGAGTGAGAAAGAGGAAGAGAACAAAAAAGCGTGTGAATATTTGGATTTAACCTCATTTCGAATTTCAAAATACTCTGATATATTTCACAACGATCACATTCGGACTCAAATTGCTTATTGGCTCGAGTTGCTTGTATATTAATCTATCCCATTCATAAATCATTCTCAGATTTGCTTAACCTTCAATTCCATTTGCAATTGGACCCCCCCAATATTCATTTTTTTCATATCGATTGGGTAATTAACTCGCATTTGATTCCGTAGATATATAAAATTCAAGGTGGGGTTGGGTTTTTCTTTGCATGTTCAGTTTGGTGTGATTTCCATCACTCTTGTCGTTGTCTATTCAACTTTGCGTGAGTTTCAAGGCTTTCAAATTTTTATTTCTTTTTATCGTTTTCTTTATTGTAAATTTGTTAAAAGTTTCGATTTTTTTTTCCACCCTCTAAATTTAGCGTTTGGTAGAAGAATGTTCTATCTTTGGATCTAATTTTTCTTTCTGTCTATATAATGGGTCTATGATCATGGTGTGTTTGGATCAGAAGAGTGGTTACTAGTTAGGGTATTGGGTTGGTCCTTTTTCTGAAGCTTGAGATCAGGTTCATTACCTGCCATCTCTTTCTCTCTCTTTCATTTCATCTGCTGCTAGCTTTTGCTGTTTTCCTTCTCTGTCTCTTCCCAAATGGCCCATTTTATTTGATGGATTTGAAGCCACTTGATTTGGTCAACGAAAATTTTGATAACCCATCTAATTTATGTGATCCGTGCAAGACTCGTTGAGGGAGCAATAAGATTAAAATAATTTGACCTCTCTGAAATTGGTGCAGGAATTGAACTTCAGAGGTCCTTGCAATGGCAGAGAATTCTTCTAATGATGATCACCACTCATCAAAGCAACCTCCCTTGCCGTCTCCCTTGCGTTTCTCCAAATTCTTTCAGGTGAATTGTCGCCTCTCTTTTTTTATTATTATTAGCAATTTACTTTCCACATTGCTGTTCTCGTTTGTTATCTGGATCATTTGATAAAAACTTCATGTTAATTCAATTATTTTATAGTCATTTTACCTGACTCGGTAGTTTTTTTTTTTTTTTAACATGGTAGAAAAAGTTGTGCATTATTTCATAATACGATTATTTCATACTGATACTGATCAGTAAAACTCAAAGTGTTTTCCATTCATTCTCTTCCATACCTGTGTTTCAGAATTGTGTGTATGTCAACATACGCTCATCCTACAACTGTTGATCGAAATTTGTCATTTGATCATGAATAGGACTTTTGTCAGAACCACATAGTTTATATAACATTTTTTTTTGTCTTGATGCCTTGTTTCACCAACATTTCTTTCATTCTTGACAATAGTCCAACATGAGAATCTTGATTACTGGCGGAGCTGGGTTCATTGGTTCTCACCTAGTCGATAGATTGATGGAAAATGAAAAAAATGAGGTAAGCTCTTTTTCCTTTTTTTCATTTAATGGAGTAGTTATTGTGTTTATTAGTTTTTTTTCACTAATTTATTCTGCTTACATAGCATTATCATCCTATATGTGATAAAATAGATACATAACTAAGTATGATATGATAAACTTTTGCAACATCCACGTCTTTAATCAGGTCATTGTTGCTGATAACTACTTCACTGGATCAAAGGACAACCTCAAAAAATGGATTGGTCATCCAAGATTTGAGCTTATCCGTCATGGTATAGTCCATCTTTGTTTACTATTCAACTATCTATGCATTAATATGTTGTGCATATGATAAACCGGAGGTTTATTTATTTTTAGGTCCTATTTGGTAGTACATGTCTGAACACTTGTCTAGGTTGTAAACTGATCTATCTTAACTTAAAAAGGTTGGAAAAGAACATGCCAACAGCAGAAGCTTTATAGTTGTTACATCACAGATTTAAGTTGTGGTCTGGGGGAGAACTACACAGATTTTTTTTTGTTAATATAATCGTAAGAGAGAACTACCATCAATGGGTTAAGCTATACCAACCTGATAGAACACCTCTAAGGGTGTATACTAGAAGGTGTCACAGAGGATTAGGATCAGCTGAGGTGGCAAGGAATATTTTAGATGGAAGGAATTCAGTTAGAGGGAAGGGGAGGCACATGCTGTGAGTGTTGGGTGCTGACGTGGCTGAATTGGTTGGTTAAGTGGTTATAAGGAGGGTGAGGCATGGGGATGAGGTAGACTGGGAAATTGGAACTATTTTGGGCTAGGAAACCAGAGTGAGAGAGACCTCTAGAGCCTCTCGAATTGCTCCAGAAACATTTTATCTTTCAGTTTCTTTCTTCTTCTATTACTGTCAAATTGTCTCTGTTATTGTACTTTTCCTTCACTGATATATCATAGAAAATCCAGTTCTCTGGGCCATTTTGGTGTTTGTTTGCGCTAAACTCTGATATCTGATCCAGTTCTTATCAACTGGTATCAGAGCACTCCGATCGTAGGGGTGCTTTGAATGGTTCTTATATGCAACATGGAAAATCGCTTCGAGATGATAGAAGAGATGAGGAGGAGGAGTGAGGAGCTGACAGAAGAACGCTTCCGCAGAACAGAACAGAAATTGAATGAGATTGTGAAGCTCGTGCAACAAGATCAGCAAAGCAGGGGAAGATCTATTCGTGAATGTCATCATCGGCGGGGTCGCTCTTACAAAAGGAGTTCTGAATCGACGGAATCAGAAGAGAGTTTCAACAAAGACATTCACCACTTTGATTGGCCAACTCCTAGGCTGGAGTTTCCTCAATGCAATGGTGTGGATGTTGCAGAAAGCTATCATACAGAGATGTTGCAGAAAAACCCACCTACGTTGACAGAGATGATGAAGGAGACGACTCTCCTTGAAAAGAGAAATCGGGCTTGGGTCAACGATGGGTTTGGGGTTGGATCCAGTGGAAGATGGGCTGGGTCTGGTCGCTCTATGCCGCCCAACCAAAGCTCTTATTCATCAGCAGGTGCTAAACACGTGACTACCTTAAATCAGGGAGGCCAGGCTAGTGAATCACGAGCGCCCATCTCTGTGCCAGCTGGTGACACGCGTACGATCTCTAATACACGTGTCAACGCTAGTTCCACACAATCTAACGTTGTTGAAGGCGTTGGTAGCAACAGAGTTAAGAATGAAGAGTGACGAATGACACAAAATGAGCTACAAGATCGAATGTGAAGGGGGCTGTGTTTGAAATGTGAAGAGAAATAGAACCCTAAGCATCGCTGTAATTTTACCCGAGCTGAGCGTTTGAATTTGAGGATCGATGAAACCCCAAATTACAAAGTTGAGGTAGGAGATGGTGACAAGGTTCAAAGTCACGAGGTGTGCAGACAAATCGAACTTCAGATTCAGGGGTTGGTGAATGAACAAGATTTATTCATCCTTTGAATTGGGAGGCGCTGAAGTCATATTGGGGTTGGATTGGCTAAGGAGTTTGGGGACAATAAAGGTTGATTTCAACCAGGTAACGTTGAAGGTTAATGTTAATGGTCATGAAGTGGTATTACGGGGAGATCCACACCGCTTTGCAATTAAGGCTATTTCTGATGATTGTCAAGGATATTTGGTGGACCCTCAATGGACTGAAAGTGCGCCAAATGGGTTAGTAAATAATTGGAAGGACCTCGAAGACATGCTTTTGGAATTCGATAAAAAATTTCTTGTGAACAATGGAACTGCTGCAATATAGGAATGGATCCAGGTGGAGCTCATCATGCACTGCATATTAATTGGCCTTGCATTTCAAGCAATGGGCTCTTGAGGGATGAACCTTACCTTGAGGACAAGGTGAGTGTTTAAAGGGGGAGTATTGATAGGACACCTCTAAGGGTATATACTAGAAGGTGTCACAGAGGATCAGGATCAGCTGAGGTGGCAGGGAATATTCTAGATGGAAGGAATTCAGTTAGAGGAAAGGGGAGGCACATGTTATGAGTGCTGACGTGGCTGAATTGGTTGGTTAAGTGGATATAAGAAGGGTGAGGCATGGGGGATGAGGTAGAGTGGGAAATTGTGACTATTTTGGGCTGGGAAACCAGAGTCAGACAGACCTCTGGAGCCTCTCGAATTGCTCCAGAAACATTTTACTTTTTAGTTTATTTCTTCTTCCATTACTACCAAATTGTCTCTGTTATTGTACTTTTCCTTTACTGATATATTATAGAAAATCCAGTTCTCTGGGCCATTTTGGTGTTTGTTTGCTCTAAACTCTTATATCTAATCCAGTTCTTATGACAACCACAATAAGTAGTTCTAACACCATATCTTGACTCAAAATCTTAAAGCATCGAGTCTATGGATCCTTCCACTTATATGATCATCACTTAGTTCATTCTCAACCAACGTGAAACTCTCTCACACTATCCAACAATCTCTTTCTCAAGTATGAGACCCAACAGTAGTATGCTCCCCTCAAGCGGGTGCCTCTCGAGTATTCAAATACCATCCAAACACCTAGCTAGCCCAAACCGAACCTTTGGCTCTGATATTACTGTGGTTCAGGAGGATCCCATGGTATGGATACCTATTATCAATGGGTTAAACTACACTAACCACAATAAGTGGACCCAATATCACATCTTGATCCAAAAACTTAAGACATTGAGTCTATGAGTCCTTATGTGGTCCTTACGTAGTCTATTTCAACAAATTTAGGACTCCCTCGCACTTGAATTTCCAACCGAAGTAATTGATATTTCAGTTTTTAGCTGTTTCCTCATCAAACACGATTTTGATCAGCTAGTTAGTCATATGAAAGTTGTTCTCATGAAACATTAACAATGATACCTTAGTGTACAGTACTTAGTATATTATGTTCAGCTTGCCTTGAAGTCTTTCGGTAAATTAGGGATGCTGATGCACATTATCATTCTGATCCAATTGTAGATGTCACTGAAACTTTGATGATTGAGGTTGATCAGATCTACCATCTTGCATGCCCTGCATCTCCTATTTTCTACAAATATAATCCTGTGAAGGTATAGTTTTGAGTCTTATTTTGTCTTTAATCATTTACCTTTTGCTTGGCATTTAAACATATTCATGTTAACTGTTGAAGAATTTTCTGTTAACATTCATTGCAAAGTCATTGACGTTGGCCATTTTATATAAAAGTATATAGAACCCCATATCAATTTCTGTCATCTGCAGTATATTTATATCTACTTCTGTCATGCATCATTGCTTGAAAGTTCTCTTTTTCTGCTGATCCTTGAGAGACTATCTAATGCATAAGGAAATAATAATTTTACAGACAATAAAGACAAATGTGATTGGCACACTGAACATGCTTGGGCTTGCAAAGCGAGTTGGAGCAAGGTTGGGAAAAAGAAGATAATTTCAGCTTCTACCATCAGTTGGTCTTAATTATTATTTTTTTCTTTTTTCTTTTCTGTGGAGTTTGAGTTCTTATTTTATTGACAGGATTTTGCTTACATCAACTTCGGAGGTATATGGAGATCCTCTAGTGCATCCTCAACCTGAAAGCTATTGGGGCAATGTTAACCCTATCGGTACATCCTTTTATCTCAGTCTCAATCTGTATCTTGGGCTGCTTAAATGAAATTATATTTTTGCTATATTATGAAAGATATCTGTACTGTATAAACCATGAAGACCTACTTTCTTACTTAATAATTTGTGAATTATGAAGTGGCTTATTGTTTGAATTTCTTTTTCATGACAAACGATAATTAGTTATGGACTTAAGAAGCTAAAAGCATTGAAAGAGTGTGTATGTGTGTGTTCTCTTGATTACTCTGATAAGCTTTCCCACTATGGCATTTCCCTTTCTTTTGCCACATAAGTTTTAGCTCCTTAACGCAAGGTTTGCCTTTTTGATGCAAAGAATTTCTTTTTAATTCATACAGTAGTTATGAAGTAGTCTAAACGCTTTATTATATGTCCATAACAGGAGTTCGTAGCTGCTATGATGAGGGAAAGCGTGTGGCTGAGACTTTGATGTTTGATTATCATAGGCAGCATGGACTAGGTAATTTCTGATCTTTTCTTCATAATTGCCTCTCATTCTAAGCTATAACTGGTAGAAGTTTTTTTGTAATTTTTTTTTTTTGTAAAAAGTTTTTTTGTAATTTAACTAAGTTGTTTATATTCTTTCAACATAGAAATACGCGTCGCGAGAATCTTTAACACATATGGACCACGTATGAATATTGATGATGGACGTGTTGTCAGCAACTTCATTGCTCAAGCACTTCGGTAATAAGACTTTTATTTATGCTATATAGTATATATGCTGCGGCGTTATTTCTGCATGCCTTGTTTGATTTGTTCTGATGGTTTCGGTCACCACATTGAGGCCTTTATCAGAAAGCAAAATGTCGGCAATGGGCATACTCTATTGGAAATGAAATTCAAGTGTGAGCAAGAAGTTTCACATTGGTTAGAAATAGACCAACTGAGGACAGCAAAAAAGGCATATAGACTCAATACTTTAATGTTTTGGGTTAAAATGCGTGTCAAACTCACTTATTATGGTTTGGTGCTTAGCCCATATATGGGAGGTACCCTCTGCAAGGGTTTTTGGGCTCCTCACTTAGGCTAGTGTAATTGCCCTTGAGGGGGAGCATATGGTTATGACTCGCACTAAGGGGAGAATATTGAAAATGAAATTCAAGTGAGTAAGAAGTTTACGTTGGTTAGAAATTAACCAAGTGAGGATCATATAAGTGGAAAAGACTCATAAATTTACTGTCTTAAGGTTTTTAGTTGAAATATGGTGTCAAATTCACTTATTCCAACTTGTTCTTCACTTGCATCAATTATTGATTTAGTTATTTTAATAGCTTGATTTTGTTGACTAGCTGTGATTTCTTTTTCTGTCTTCTCCCTATTTCTAAATTGATGCTTTATCAGTTTAACCGTCATTCCTTACATGTTCTTTGGTGTGCTTCAGTGGTGAATCCTTGACGGTCCAATCTCCAGGAACACAAACTCGCAGTTTCTGCTACGTCTCTGATCTGGTATATAGCCCATTTGCATCTTTTTTTCTCATTGAATTACTATTATATTGTGAGCTTATTATGTTTATTATTGTGAGATTTCTTAGGTTGATGGCCTTATCCGTCTAATGGAAGGATCGGACACTGGTCCAATCAACCTTGGAAACCCAGGTTAGATTTCTATAATCTATTGCAAGGCCTGTATTTACTTCTTGAGTCGTGAAAAAAAAAAAAAAAACCTTTACTTTCTTTGCCCTTGTTTAATTAATTGAGTCTTTTGCTTTTTCAGGTGAATTTACAATGCTTGAACTTGCTGAGACGGTGAAGGAGGTTAGTTCTATAAGCTTTTATCCTTTTCAATAGCATTCACCTCTCATAGTTTGGTTTACACTCATTAAGTTAAAGCTTATGAGTAGTGAAGTTCGATTTGAAACATAGTTACCAACCCATGGAGCTATTTTTCTGAGGAAGATTGCATATGCACAACGCAAAATTAATGCATGGCATCTATATATTTATCTGCTGCATGAGAATGGAATTCTTAGAAAATAGTTTCTAATTTATGCATTGATGTGCAGCTTGTTAATCCTAAGGTGGAGATAAAGATGGTGGAGAACACTCCTGATGATCCACGACAGAGAAAACCGGACATAACAAAAGCAAAAGAAGTGCTTGGATGGGAACCAAAGGTCAAGCTAAGGGAAGGCCTTCCTCTTATGGAAGAGGATTTCCGTTTGAGGCTTGGGGTTGACAAAAAAAATTAACATTTTGTGTAATTTCAAAATCGGAATATGATTGCCAACGAGATATAAAAAGAGTGGCTCCCATCATTTTTTTGTCTCTGTGGCAGAGACAAATTTGTCTGCTTTAGAAGCAGAAATCATATTCCCTCTCAAAATAGTAGATAATAAGTGGGATGGATTAGTTTATCAGTTTTCATGTTTTTTTCCTTTTCATAATTTTGATACTGAGGAAGTTGGGTGCCTATGACTTGGCTTCCATTAGTATCAAAGACCATTTTCTTGTCTGTCTGTCCAAATTTTGCCGGTGGAATTATTAGAGTTGAAATTTCTTTTTCTTTTATATATTCATGATTTGTTATTCCATTACTTTTTTTTTTTCGGTAGATATTCGAGTACTTTTTAAAGTGCACTCGTGATTAAAATTATTCTTGGTTGTCATACATCAGCGGTGTTAGGTTCGGACTTTTGATGTTATTAACAATCATATGCTTATTTTGGTGGCATTAATAGCATAATACTTGTGAAGAGGGATTATGGACCGGAAAGATAAAAGATTATTTACACAAACTGTTCGCTTTTTGCCTTTTATAATGGAGCATGGTCAAAACTCGAGAGAAAATGGGATGAGTGAGAAATCATTTAATTGACTGTCTTATTAATTTACTAATCCACCTGATTTGATGAAAACACGGCCTTTAACGGTTTTAACTTAATAAAAGGAAAAGTGACTCGAGATATTTATCTTAATCTTTACAGATTCGAAATGTCATTTTCAAACTTAGTATTCCTCACAACTTACAAATAAAATTTCAAATAGATAACTAAATAAATTAAGTGCAGGATATATTTGCCACCAAAATTGTTTACCACCTTTACAATCAATCCAATCACCATTGATTTTCGTCAATCTAACGGTTATAATTTATTGAGAATTAATAACTAATTAATAAGTACAACCCAATAATTTTCAATAAAGTATAACCGTTAGATCGACGGAAATCAACGGTGATTGAGTTAGTTGAAAGGGTAGTAAACATTTTTTGTGGTAAGTATATCCTTCCCCAATAAATTATTTAAATATTAGTAAAGTCTTGACAACATAATTATATAAAAAAAAATTGTAATTTTTTCCCTCTACAAAATTCTCTAAATTCGCCATGTATTTTTCTAATAAATATTCTAAGGTAGTAGTTGAAAATATTAAAAATAAATATATATAGGATCAGGATCATTTTGCATCGGTGTAAGACTTATTAGTCTTACACCGCATCTAAACCGTTAATTTTCGTGCATCCAACGGTTATAATTTAGAAAGTTATACGAATTAATTAATATTAATTAATTAATAATTACACTACAAATGACAACCGATGATTTTTGTCCATCAACTGTTGAGATGCGGTGTAAAACTTGTTAGTCTTACACTGGTGTAAAAAGATCATGCCCCATATTATATATATATATATATATATATATATATATATATATATATATATATATATATATATATATATATTTAATGTTTCTACCATGAATATAGATAAGTTATCTACATTCGCTCCCAAAATCAATGGCGGACCCAGAATTTTTTATGAGAGGAGGCAAAAATAAATATTAAAGTTATAAATGTTATTAAAACTAAGGGAGGTTTATACTTACTACTAGTTAAACTTACCACCATTATAACCAATCTAATCATCGTTAGATTAGAATTAAATCTGATGGTGATTAATTATGTCTTATAATATTAATTTTTTCTCTCACATCCTCTTTGTATGCCTCTCTCTCTCAATTTTCATCCCCTCTGTGTCTCTGTCTAGTCTTTTTTAGGGTAAACAAAATGGGCAATGTCCCCAAAAACAACAAAGCAAAAACAAAACAGTAAGAAGAAATAAACTAATCAAGTGCAGCAGCCCAGATTTGAGGAGAAGACCCCTCCAGATCAGCGAACTGGGTAATAAAAAAAACATTTTTTAATTTACAAAAAAAAAAAAAAAAAAACATTTTTAAGAAAGATTAACGAATGACTTAACAAATTTTTTATTTTCTTTGACAAACTCAAACCATTGCAATATACTCTTAATCTTCTTAGGATCCATGGACATTCTCAGTTTGGATATTATGTTGTCCAAGTATCCGAATAATTTCTCTTTCAGGGTGTTGGAAGCCTTTACCACAAATGCTTTAGAGTTTTTTTTATATATATATATATTCATCCATTATTCTTCCTTACCTAAAAGTGGCGAGGCTCTCATATATGTTTTCCTGAAGTCGATCTCTAAATTATTGAATCAAAACTGCCATTGTTCCTTCCAAATCTAGAGAGAGAAAGAAGCAGACATAAGGGGAATGAAAGCCTAGAGAGAGAAGCAGACAGAGAGGGGATGTGAGAGAAAAAATTAAAATTATAAAGAGTAACTAATCACCGTTAAATTTAATTCTAATCTAACGATAATTAGATTGGTGGTAAGGATGGTAAGTTTAGCTAGTGGTAAGTATAACTCTCCCTTAAGACCAATAGAAAGAATTAATTATTACAAATATTTTCAAAGAAGGGGTAAGGTAACTATTAAGAATTATCATATATTATTATTACAAAAATATAATTATATATATATGGAAAAGTGTTTGTCATTTTAAATGACAGAAAGTTATGTCATTTTAAGAGAGATACAGACACAGAAAATTTGAATTTTAAATTAAAAAAACCACCCATTTTCTCTCTCCCATGATTTCCGTTTTTCTGTGTCTATCTTTCTCCTAAAATGACATAACTTATGTCATTTAAAATGACAAACACCAAACCCTATAAACTTATATCTTTTTAGATTCTAACCGTTGATTTCTGTTCATCAACGGTTATAATTTATTGGATTAAAATTATTAATTAATTAATAATAAATTTGGCCAATTAAGTTTGGCCCAATAGATTGTAACCGTTGATGGATAGAAATCAACAGTTAGGATCTAAAAGGATATAAACCTATATCTTTTAAAAGGATAGATGTTTTTTCCAAGTTTATATCCTTTAAAAGGATAGATGTTATTCTCATATATATATATATATAGGGCTTATCATTTCTCAAGCTGCCGGAAATAAAGTTATCTCTGGCTACTAAATCATAACCGTACAAAGATGGATCAATGATGATGAAGGAAGAGAGAGAAAAAGGGAATCATAACCATTCAAAGGTGAATCGGTACATATAAGGAAATAAATAATCAAAACGACGTAGTTTTGAGGTGACCGGAGATAAACTTATCTCAAGCTGCTTGAGAAATGTTTTTTCCTATATATATATAGGAAAAAACATTTCTCAAGCTGCTTGAGATAAGTTTATCTCCGGTCACCTCAAAACTACGTCGTTTTGATTATTTATTTCCTTATATGTACCGATTCACCTTTGAATGGTTATGATTCCCTTTTTCTCTCTCTTCCTTCATCATCATTGATCCATCTTTGTACGGTTATGATTTAGTAGCCGGAAATAAAATTATCTCCTGCAGCTTGAGAAATGATAAGCTCATATATATATATATATAGGGTTAGGATATTTTGACTACCAATTTTTTCTACTACCACTCTAATCACCATTGGATTAGAGAAAAAGTTGAATGAATGAGAGAAAAGAAAAATAACTTATAATCCAATGGTGATTAGAGTGGTAGTAGAAAAAATTAGTAGTCAAAATATCCTACCTCATATATATATATAGGTTTTATAAGAGTTATGTTGTAGGAAAAATGATTGTGTTATGTTGTAGGAAAAATGATTGTGTAATGTTATAGAGATTCATTTTGCGTGCCTTAACTTTTTTAATTTTTTTTTGTTTTAAAAAGTGTGGGTCCCACAAAATGTTGTGTGTGTAGGAAATTTGATGGTGTCATGTTAAAGGACAAACTACAATCCCTATATATATATATATATATATATATATATATATATATAAAGTTGTAAAAGACCGTATTAGTATACTCAAATATAAACAAATCTTCAACCTCGGAGACAACTTCGGGGGGGGGGAGAGAGAAAGATTCTTCCTCGTAAATCCCCATCTCTAGTTCTCTACCATAAATAAAATGAAATAATTATCTCGTGCAAGGTGAAATTAATTGATCCCATAAACAAAAACAGTAAGTAACATACACTATTCTTTTCTGTCGTGCTAAGCGATTCTGGTGTAATAGTGTCGGCAACCTTAAGGCGGTGCAATATGTCCAAGAGTCTCATTCAATTCATAAATTCACATTTGACAATAGAAAGAGTAAAGAACGTGTAGGACGAAAGCTAGATCAGATAATTGCACGATCCAATTCCATACTCATCCAAAACACCCCATCGTGCCACCGCATCCAAATCCAATAAACGAGAAAAACATTATTGTTTGTGTTGTGTTGTGTAACTCTATCTGACGGCCACGCTTCATCACAACGCCAATTCAACGCCACAAACACAAACACCCCTGGTGGTGTTTTCCACATTTCTACGCTATTCATTCTATCCAATTTTAAATAACAATATAAACGAAAAAAAAAAAACAAGATAAACAACAAACACGGAAGAGCGGTTTTGTTCGGTTAAGGCACCAAACTCTAGAATACAAGAACCTATGCTTCATATCATAAATAATCAACATTAAATTTAAATATTCATTTCATTTCTGCTACGAAGATCCTAGAAAATGTCGAAGCGTATTTGGATCGGGGATTAGTATTTCTAGGGTTTTGCTGCTTCCTATTCAGATTCGGATTCCATCGGAAATGTCCGAAGCTAATTCAACGCCCCGAAGCTCCGCTTATCTCGTCGCTCTCTCTCAAGCGATCCACAAGAAGCTCCAGCGGGTTCGTTTTTTTCTTCCATTTTCTTGCTATTTTTCCCTGTTTGGATGTCGAGAAAATGTAGCCACGTGGAACTAGCAATTGGTTGTTCTGTGTTTGTATTGTATTGAATTGTTTGCTTTTCCTTTAACACATTAGGGTTGTGTGTGATAAATGTGCTGCAGGCGCTGGCTAATTCCTCTCAAAGGCGCAATTTGTTGCAGGAGCTGTTTGCAGACATAGCTTTAGAAGTGGATGACCGAGCCAAAGGTTAGTTATAAACGGTAGCTTCAGAACTTATCCATTTTCACTTTGATGATGATGATGGTGCAATATTTAATTCTTACAATCTAATTATTATTGAACACTAAGATTCGTGCTTCGAGCATGGTATTGGAATCATTGTTCATGGTTCACCTTGTTTACATGCTTAAAGTTTATATTTCCTTTTTTTTTTGGAAGATAATAATTCTCTTGCTTAAAATCAAATTTTCATCTAAGGTCAACTACCATATAGAAAATCCTTTGTGAAGAACATATGTGGGATTATATGTCTTGTTAAGTTAATTAGCTGGTCTATTATGTTATTTTTCTCTCTGGATGCTAGAGGACACATAATTGAGAATTTTTATTTTAAACAAATGAGTAGGATACAGAACGATGGGATTCAGAACTAACAAGTGGATATTTGAGTCTAGTAAGGTGTCAAGAACCTTTTTATTTTATTTTTCCTAGAAGGGGGAGGATGTGTGTGTTCTCTTTTATTTGTTATTTGCCAAACAAGAATTACCAAGTACAAATCTTCTTTTTCTTTTTCTTTTTTTCCCAATAACAGATGTAATTGTCAACAAGGAAGAAGATATCATTTCTCCTGCGGAGGATGTCAATGATGGTCTGTTATGTTTCTATGATGTGCTTGCTGATTATTTTGTGCGAGTGCCTGATAGTGGAAAACCTATCCTTGACTTGATTGTCCAACTCTGGAGCCAATCATTTGCTTCACATATATTTGCCCTCCTGTTTCACAAATGGGTATGTGAGCTTGTGTCTACCCTATTGTCTTATTGGTTTCTTGCTGACATTTTCTGTGTGAGATTGTATAATTTTTCATTGCCGGTTTTGGATTTGAAATTCATTAACATTTTGAAAATTCTATTAAAAAAAGGCAAGTATGTAAGGTGCATAGATGTCATTGTTCTCACCATGATCACTATGCCCTTATTACAACTAGAAGCCAGTTCTGACATTATTTTTTACCGTTATTATTGTGGTTGACGTGATCATCAAAAGTATAGGTTTTGTCCATATATTTGATATTGTTCTCCAAGCCTTCAAAATATTGCCATTGTATTTCTAATTTGGCTTTTTATAATTAAAATAAAGATTTTTTGATAATAATCGGATGTTTGTTCTAAATCTATTAGGTTTGAAGTTTTTTTTAAGCATAAGCTAATCTATGCTTAGTCCTTACCTGTTCAATTATCAAGTTTTCCAAATAAATGTTAGAAAAAATTCATAATTGTTGTTCTGTGTGTAGCTATTAGTGTAGAATAAATAAACTGTACTTAATATACTGCACTTGTCCATAGGGTTATTTTTGTAAAGCCAAGTGGCTTAGTTTCATTATTCAGTTCAGTGAACTGAATATTGTTACAACAGAATAGGATGACGTGGCTGTATCATTTTTCAATATAAAGAGCTCTCATGTACTATTCTCTCTCAGATAACAATGATATGAAATATTCAATCTCTTTCTCGTCTTTCTCTTTCCTATTCTCCCGTCTTCCTCAGAATTCTTTGATGGTATCAGAGCTCTCTCTGAGGGCCTGGTACAGATAACTTCTTGCTATGTCTTTCGCTTTGCCATCACAGTCTCTGTCTCCTTCTGTAACCGGAAACGCAACCGGAAATGCATCGACAGAGAATCGCTCATCTTCTTTGTCGCTGTTCAGCCATCAAGTCTCTGTTAAACTAACAGAGAGCAATTTTCTTCTTTGGAATCAGGTTGTAGAACCTGTAATCACCTCTCACCAACTCCAGCACATCCTTGTTAACCCTAAAATACCACTTCATTTTGAATTGGAGCAAGATCGTGTTGATGGAGTCGTCAATCACTTCTCACCAACTTCAGCACATCCTTGTTAACCCTAAAGTACCACTTCAGTTTGAATTGGAGCAAGATCGTGTTGATGGAGTCATCAATCACTTGTACACTGAATGACTTTGTCAAGATCGGATGCTTCTCTCGTGGATCCTTTGCACTATTTCAGAAGAATTCTTGAACGAAATCCTCAGAGTCAGCCATGTGTATGAAGCTTGGAGCAGGTCCACTAAGTTCTTCCAAGGAATGATGAAGTCTAAAGCTCACCAACTCAGATCTGAACTCCGCACCATCAAGAAAGGTGGGAGATCTGTTGCTGAGTACCTTGGACGCGTTAAATCTCTCTGTGATGAACTAAAAGCAATCAAAAGCCCTGTTCCAGTTGACGAACAAACTGAGTTGTGATACTAGCTGGCCTTCCTGCTAAGTTCAATGCCTTTGTCACCTCTGTTAGAGCATGTGAAAATCCGTATTCACTCAATGACTTGAGAGTTGAACTGATGTCTCATGAAATGATGCTTGCAAGACAAAATGAAACTCTTCTCTCAAATTCAATGACTGTGAATGTTGTGCAGAAGACCTCTACTGATCCAAAAGAAACGTCTAGATATGAATCAGCACCTGCCAGATCTCCTTTTAACGTTGTGCAACCAAATCTAGATCAAAATACATACAACCAGAGGTCTTATAGTCCAAATTATGTAAGAGGTAGAGGTAGATCCTATCCTCGAAACAACAGAGGAGCTAGAGGTTGTGGACGTAGCAATGTTCAATGTTCAATGCCAGCTCTGCTACAAATTTGGACATGGAGTTTAGAGTTGCTGGTACAGGTTTGATGAGAACTTTGTACCTGAACTCCCTCCCTCTGAAGCTCCTCAGTATTTTCCATCAGCACAATCTTCATTCCAGAGGCCATATCAATATGTCAGATCTACTGCCCACAGCCAACCTTAAGCCTTGCTAACCACCAATCAACCTCAAGGACAAGGATTTCTACCAACTCCTTCGAATATTCAGGCCATAGAGTGGTATCCAAGATTCAGGCGTCTCTCATCATGTAACTGCCAATCCTCTGAACCTGTTGCAAAGCACACAACCGTCAGGTGCAAATCAGGTTTACATAGGGAATGGCCAAGGTTTGAAATTGAATGCTATGGGTTGTTCTTCATTCTTTTCTCCACTTAAACCACACACTCATTTGCATCTTAACAATCTGCTTCTTGTTCTTTCTATAACTAAAAATTTTATCAATGTGAGTCAGTTTGCTTGAGATAATGGTGTTTATTTCGAATTTCACCCTCTCACTTGCCTGAAATCTCAGGCATCTCATAAAGTTCTGTTGGAAGGTGTCTTAGGATCAGATGGACTATATTGCTTTCAAGGAGTTCAACTTTCTCCCAACTCAAGTCAACAGTCAAGTCAACATTCTCCCATTTCTGTTTCAAACCTTACTTCATGTAGTCCACCACCAAAATGTAGTAGCTCAATTTCTTCTAGTACAGTTCCCACTAATGTAATCACACAGTGCACAGATAATGTTGCTTCTAGTTTTGCAAAAGTTGTAGGTTCTAACTATATGTACTCATTTTGGCATTGTCGATTCAGGCACCCTCACAGTGAGGCACTCAACTGTTCTAAAGCTCTGTAATGTTCCTATTCCTAATAAAACGAATGTTGAATTCTGTTTTGCCTATTGTTGATGTAAAATACATCATTTACATTCAGCTCCTTCAACCAAAGTGTATGCAAAACCTTTTGATTTGATTTTTAGTGATCTCTGAGGACCAGCCCCTGTTAAATCTACAATGGGCTTTATATATTACATATCATTTGTAGATGCTCACTCTCGATACACTTGGATTTATCCTCTCAAATAGAAATCAGAAGCCTTAATTATATTTACTCATTTCCGAGCACTTGTGTCAAACCACTTTCAATTCACCATAAAGGTTCTTCAAACTAACTTTAGGGGACGAGGGTTTCGTTCCTTCAATCAACATCTCAAACAGCTTGGTATAGTTCATAGAATAGCTTTCCCCCACACCCATCATCAAAATGGTGTGGTAGAAAGGAAACATAGGCATATTGTTGAGACTGGGCTCGCTCTTGTTGCTCATGCATCTTTCCCCATCAAATTCTAGGATCATGCTTTTATCTCTGTTGTTTACCTCATTAATTCTCTACCCACTGCTGCCTTAAACTTTGAAGCTCCCCTTGTGAAGTTACACAAAATTGTCCCTGATTACAAATCACTCAAAGTTTTTGGTTGTGCCTGCTTCCCTTTCTTAAGACCATACAATAATCATAAATTGGACTTTCGAAGCAGTGAATGCATTTTCCTTGGGTATTCTCCAAGTCACACAAAGGATACAAATGCCTTAATTCCTCTGGGAGACTTTTTATCTCAAAGGATGTACTCTTTAATGAAACCAAATTTCCTTATCCTTCCTGGTTTTCTTTGAATCCTACTCCTACTTCAACTGATCCTTCCCCACCTGTTTCTAACTTAATTCCCTTGGTGATCTCTACATCTGATTTCACTCATTCTGACCTCTCACACCAAGTCAGAATTATTGCTCATTCCCAAAGTTCTGACTCATTGCCACAGTGCTCCAACTCAGATAATCCAGGTTCTCCAAGCAACACCTCATCCACATCCACACCAACAAGAAACTCCTCTCCCAGCACCTACATCATCTGGTTCAGGTCCAATTACATTCTCAGGTTCATCAACTTCCAGCAGTGGCAACACCACTAGTCCAGGTTCCCATGTTGCTATTTCTTTTAGTCCGTCTCCTTCCTCTTCTTCTAGCTCTAGCTCTGGGTCTGAATATGTTCCATCTGGTCTCTTCCTTCTTCCCCTACTCATTCTATCACCACTCGCTCTGAGACTGCTCATTTGCCTCAAATATTTTTAACTTCTCTCGAGTCCAGCACGATTAAACAAGCCTTGGCCAATCCCAATTGGTTTTCTGCTATGCAGTCAGAGTTTGATGCTCTCCAAGTAAACTCCACATGGTCTTTGGTCTCTCTTCCACCCAATCGGACAGCCATTGGCTACTAGTGGGTCTTTCGGGTTAAAAAAACCTAGATGGATCTATTAATAGGTACAAAGCTAGGTTAGTGGCTAAACGTTTCCATCAACAAGCAGGCTCTGATTATTCTAAAACTTTCTCGCCGGTTGTGAAGCCCATCACTATCAGAACTGTTCTAACTAGTGCAATTTCTTTTGGCTGGACACTCCGACAGTTGGATGTTAATAATGCACTCCTCAATGGCACCCTTGAGGAGGAGGTTTATATGCAACAGCCTCCTGGCTTTGAGTCACCTACTAAATCTCTTGTTTGCAGGTTATATAAGGCTCTTTATGGCTTAAAATAGGCCCCAAGGGCCTGATTTGATAAACTCAAAAATCCTTACTGCATCTTGGTTTTGTAGCTAGCAGATGTGACCCTTCATTGTTTATCTACAGGAAGTCATCTCAGTGGTTTTTTCTCCTAGTGTATGTTGATGATATAATCCTCACTGGCAGTGATCTTTCTTTTATTCAGTCTTTGATTCAGCAATTGCACACCTCCTTTGCTTTAGTAGATCTTGGAGAGCTGGACTTCTTCCTTGGCATAGAGGTTCAAAAAACTTCTTCTGGTGCACTGGTTCTTTCTCAAGCAAAATTGTAGAATATTCTAGAGTTTTCTACTTGTTTCTAGCTACTTGTTCCTTTGAGTAGTGTGATGCCTCTTCGGTTACTGTGTATTTTATTTATTACTTCAACTCCTTAACTACCTTGTAATCTGTATATAAAGATCCCTTTGGGTGTCAATCAATATATGAAAAATACATTTCAGTCTTATATTTCATCATGGTATCAAGAGCAGGTTATCCTGTGGTCATCTTGTAAACCTTCATGTTTCCTTCCGTTTTCCATTTTTCA